CTACAATCGAAATATAATACCTTTTGTGATACATAACAAGGGTGAATGATAGGAGAGATGAAACCTAAATTAAAAAAAGTTGTTTATTATTGAATGTAATCTTTGACCAAGATAATACTGGTGTATAATCTACAAATTTAGGTGAATACTTACGTCAAAGTGATCTTCACAAAAGTAAAGCTGAGTACTGGGCAATATTCTCCTTGAATCTCGTCTTGCAAGTTTAAGCCACTTATTTCGTGTTGTTTTTTTGTACGGGACAAACACAAACAACTTGTTCGGAGTTTTTATTGATGAATTAGTACAGTGAGGGACTCCACACCACCGATACCCTTTTGAATTCATTTATATTATTCAATAAAACTTATCATCAAATTTATAGAAGAGCTTTCAGTGTTTACATGTAGTCTAATCAAACGTGACGTCACAAGCGAAGCCGTGACACTTTGAAGTGTTTTGATGGAAATTTCAAACTCATAAATTGAAGTGTATTTATTTTATACTCAATTTCAATTTTATGCGGAAATATGAAATTATTTTGTTGTTATTATAATATATTTCCCAACATTATAGAACAGTATTTCAAAATCTGTCATCATGCCTATTGGTACCAGTGTAAAATAATCTAATATTTGCTGTTATGAAAAGTTTTGAAAATCTTTTCCAAAAGTTTTTTATAGTGATATTAAAATACATATTTTTAAATGTTTTTCAAAAATCTGAGCTTTCAAAAAAAATACTGTGGAAGGTAGTAGTGAAATAAGAAACGGTACTGCCTCTGTTGTCACTATCTATTCATCAGCAGAATACTTCCTGTGGAAGTGTCTTTAAAAAGAGCTTGAGCAATTTGGATTTCTACAAAAATTTATAAAGGTCTGTTCAACTGTCAAGTTTGAACTCTTATTTCAAGTTTCTGAGAAGCTGCAGAGTTGTGTCGTCTGATGACGATGGTATGCATGATTCTGGCACATACACCCTTCTTCACCATGTTCTGGCAACTTGATAAGTACAATCATCTTCAATTTGATACTTTGATGAACGATATTGAAAACTTCAACCAGGGCTCACATTCATCACTTAATTAACATCAATTAATTCGACCAATCACATGGCAGTCTTCGCCAAATACAGCCACAAATGTCAATAGAAAATGATGACATTTCAAGAGCGCTTTCGACAGCTGGTTGTGCTGTCATCATCAAGGCTCTACTCTACTCAAACTCAAAATGATTTGAAGCTTTACTAACTTCTGCTTATTACATGCGAGCGCTTTATATACCTGTGCTATCATTTTCATGGCTCTACTCAAACTTAACGTTTTATCTTCTTGTTTGTTCTTGTATACGGTTAGAACGCCTTGGTGCAGGTATTTGTCCCCTCCTGTCATTCGGATGTCTCTTTAAATAAATTTGCCTGTATTTGTGTTACATCATGTGTTGTAGTTTCTCTAGGTTCATTGTTTCTAGGAACGTGTATTGTATTGTGAAGTATATTGAATGTTAGGCCTTACAAACCTCTAAAAACAGTTACCATTTCTGAAATAGCAAAGCAAAAAACTCACAAAAATGATAAACAAGATGAAAATATAACCAATGAACCTTTTTCCTGAAGTATGGAAAAATCACTCACTAGCAGCGCTAGTAGCTCGGTAGGGACAAACACTGCCTAATCCTCATATAAATATATAGTAAAGTACAATTAAAATAGAATGATTTTAACAGAAGAAGATGTTCCTGGAGCAAAACTAAAATTTGCAAATGTAAAGGATAACAATGTTGTAACATTAAAACGTTGGCTTGCATGCCGTAATTTAAATATAACTGGAAAAAAAAGTGAATTAATAGACAGGTTAGTATACTAGTAAAAGAGTAGCTGTAGATTCAAACTGTAATAAAAGAAATTTAAAATAATGAATTTCAGATTTATTCCCGAGTAAAATATGAATCAAATATAGATGTTAATGAAATAAATTTAATTTAATATAATAAAGGAATATAATTTAATAATCAATCAATCAATGGTAATTAACTATCAAAAATGTACTATCCATTTCTTATTCATTTAATTAATTTCAAAAATAATTTCGAAAACATATGTAAATGATGACTCAGTTATCAGTTTATCTGTTAGTTAGTTAGTTAGTATTTAATATTTTAGTAATCTTTTATTGGTATGAATTAGGGTCAGAATTGTATAAATAACGGAAGAGAAGGAGTTATTTTTGAAGGTGTCAATAAAGGAATATGGTTATTGAAGAAAAAACAATGTTTGCAAGCAGCCTTAACAGTTACATCAACATCTACATCTGGATCAACAGTACCATTTGTTTCTTCTACAACATTAACTATCAAAACAGATTCCCCGTTCATTTTGTTACGGTATTATACATGAGTACATTACACAAGGTAAAAATTTACAGAAGCGATGACGATGATCAAGAGCTGGATGATGATTTAATGCCTATCTGTGGTAATTCAAAAGCCATTCAACGTGGTCGACTGTACTTTATTAGTGATTGTATAAAGGATTTGCAAGATAATTGTTGTAAAAATATTTATTATTTGAGGGCAAAAATCCAATCATCTTTTAAAACTACAATTTACGCGTGGTAATAGGTCTTGATGATGATGGAAAAGTAATAAATGCTGCATGTCAAAGTCCAGCATCCGAATCTTTAAAATGCTATAATATTGTCGCACTACTTTTTAAAAGAATATATGCTTCAACATGGTTTTAAATCGTTAACTTGTACTTCTAAAATCAAAGAATGGAACCAGGGTCGCAAAACTGCAAACAATCCATCAAGTATCATCACTGCTGAATATAAAAAAGCTAAATCTACAAACAATCCAAGTGAGAAGCGTAAAAAAATGTAATGAGGCTAATGAAAAAAAGTAATTAACTTTAGAGCACAGTCGGACCTACGATGTTTTTGAATGCTGAAATAATGACAACAGACTTTATCCAACGCTTACAACAGAAAAATAAAAAATCAATGTGGACTGACTTATTGCAAATACATTATGATGATTATGATTTAAACTATGATCAAAAATTAAAATTAAAAATTGCAGAGTTTCAAACGAATTTAAGATCATCAACGCTTGGTCCGTTTGAAATTGAGGTGGAACAAAATAGTCTGGCATGGCTTAATGCACGCAGATACCGAATCACTGCATCAAACTGTAAGTCATTTTATACAAGCAAAGATTCAACAAATTTGATAAATATAAAGTTATCGCAAGAAACAAAAGATATAAGTCACTTTCCTGCGATTGCTTATGGTAGAGATAATGAATCAGCTGCAATCCAAGAATACCTTACGTCTATTAATAGGACTCAGATTAAAAAGCCAGGATTGATTGTTAATGGTCGGTTCCCAGGTCTTGGTTGTAGCCCAGATGGCTTAATTTTTTAAAATAATGAAATTCTCTACTGTATTGAAGTAAAGTGTGCTTACAAGTTAAAAATTAGCTGAAATCAAAGTACTCTGTGCTATACCGTTAAAAATAATCAAATTACATTAAAAAGGAATCATGTTTATTACTACCAAATTCAGCTAACATTAGCTATTTTGGAATCGAAATTTTGTGATTTTATTGTCTGGACAATAAAGAATGGTTCTGTAGTCGAGAGGATTTCTCGAGATGAAACTTTTATAAATGCTCTAAACTAAATTATGCAAAGTTCATAATGTCTTAGCAATGGAATTTTTTGAGATGAGGCTACCATAAAAGTTACCACTGTTTGAGATGGACATATGAGTGCAGTAAAAAGTACAGTTAATGGTTTTAAGATTTTTAATAATGGGATGATAAATGTGTATGTTATTATTATAAATGTTTTATGATTGTTTCTTGTTTGAAAATATTTAAAAATGTATGGCTAATGATGCTGTGTTGACTGAACTAATGAAAGAAAACAAAATAATAATAGTGTTATTGTTATTTATTGCAATTACAAAAACAATTTGTGATGCAGTAGGCAATAAAGTTTAGGGTATGATTCTTTGCATTATTCTAAACTGTTTCATTTGAACAATGAATCGTTCCACGTGTATTTGAGTCGAAGCAATTTCTCTTGCCCTCTTAACTTCATTTTTTGTAAATTTTTTTCTCTATTTCAAAAACGGTGGTATTAATACAGTACATTTATATTCATTACATAAATCTTTAATGTTAAAACCACGTTCTGCCAATATTAAGTGACTTTTCTCTAGAGTTTTAAAAAATCCACTTTTTTCGGTGATACTTCTATCACTTATGTGTCCCTCGAAACCGTCTGAAAGAAAGCAACACCCTCCAGTAGGTATGATTCCAATCAAAAACTTTACTGTGTTTGGGATTTGTAACTCGAATACGTATTTCCTTGTTGACTAAAATTTTTCGGCTTTTCCATATTCCATTCAAACAAATCAATAATTACTCATACATTTTTAAATTCCTTAAAGGATTAAAGTAAGTTCTTACTGACATCTTTGGCTGATGGAAAATGAGTCAGTTGTTCAAATTTACAATACATTAGTTGTATCCATGTTTTAATTTTTGAAATATAGCTCATACCTACTTATACCAAACTGGCAACTCAAATCATACAATAAAAAGCCACATCTTAATCTTACAAGGGTTAAAAACAGTTGATTCTTCAAAGATAATGCTTTAAATTGTTTTATCGATATGTGTTTATTAGTTTCTGATCTTGAATGCCACATTATCAGTGATTATTCTGTTGGAGGACCTAAGAAATTCCACACAATATCAAAATCTTCTGGCATTAAGCCTATATAAAATTTAAACTTTTCACTATCATTCATACATGATTCATGATTAAGAGTAAATGTACTTAGTTTTTTTTTGGAATTTTTTCAATCTCCTGTAATTTTATTACAAAAATACTTTCAACTTCCATACAAGTTTGACTTTCTGCATGAGCTACGGATTTATTGACGTGTTCTCCATTAAGGGGCGGTGATTCAGTGGGTTCAGGAGTTAAATACTTACCTAATGGAACATCTTGAGTATCATTTAGATGGATTGATTTTGAAGACTCTGGGTTAACATCTTTCCCTTTTTTTAATTTTTGAAGCGGACTGCACAGAGAAACTATTGATGACGTTGAAAGACGTTTGTTTCGTGCTTTTGGTATCTGTAAAAATTATTAGTTGGTTACTTGGAAACATTTTTTTTTAAGTTTTTTAATTATTTATTTTATCATGCTTTCAGTAATGAAATTGTCAATAATTCATGATTTAGACTCTAGCAGACATTAACTAATTTTTTCAAGTAATCAATCAAGTAGCCAACACTTTACAATAAAAAGTGCAACATGTAAGAAATTACTAAATCAGTATGTGTATTTTTTATAAATAGTATTTTTTACCTTATTTTTACTGATTTAAAATTTTTCATGTGTACTACGTCTTAAACATTAATATTTCATTGACAATTTTTTTACTCCAATCACAAGTATTAGTTTAAACATAATTTTATTATTGCTTACTTTACTAATCCTTGCAGAAACAGGATCTGGATTCTCCTCGGTAGGGCCTTTTTCACCAATAAAATGTTTAGAGCATACATATGAATATTTATTTATTTTTTGCACTGTTAAATCCACTCTCCTCGAAGCATGTATCCATTTCTTACATCTAACCTCATTAATATGAGGTTTTATAAATGGTATAAAAAACACGTTTTCTTTCGGATATCGATTATCCGACGTACAATCCGCAAAACAGCAATGCTTTGTTGGCATTATACCAGCACAAAATAATTTTTTATATCAGATTTATATTTTTAAATATGATAAATCATTATTACGTCATATTTTCTTCTGTAAAGGTTGGCAATAATTTTGACACAATCTATAATATAATCGACATTTCGTCTATTTTTTGTAATAGACTATATTTTTATAGACAGACATCTTGAGTAGAATCACGAATCACGCCCGGAAAATGTTTTCATCAATTTTGGCAATGGCCATTATTTCATTGGGATGGAGTTTTTCAAATACTGAAAAAAACATTTGATACCATCAGTTCAACATTATCACTTGTTATTAAATCAATATTACAGTATCAGGGTAATTCATCATCCAACCAAAACAATTAATAAATACTTGTTTCGGAACTTGATAATCGAATGTGTTCTGAAAATAACCATGTGTTCCATGTTTTTTTTTCTAGCAACCTTTTTCAAAATTCCCGGTTAACATTTGGTTACTTGCGGACCAAATCGCAATGTTAATAATTGACTCAAGACTCGATATTGGCAACATTGTTTTTAATGAGAAATGACTACTGAATCAGTAAATATTTCAAAAAGGCACTTACAAATCTAATCGAATAACCTAGTAGTGATGGAAATATTGCATATTTTAAACGAAATTGTATTAAAAAATTACAGACAATATGCAATGGAAATTTCCAAAAGTTTATAAGTTGACATTAGTAAAATAAAGGCCTAGTAAGCAAATTGATGTCCAGGCCACTGGGATCTTGGACACCTTCATTCCATTTTTTTTCGATTTTGTGGTATTACCACAGATATTTAATCTGTGGTATGGTATTACTATCAGCTCGTTTTTAGTGCATAAATGAAGATTTAATGGGGATATGTATATACGTCATACTTAATGAAAAGTTCTCTATTTCGTTGGTTTTTATCTCCATATAAATTTTCATTGCTTTTGAATTAATACAAAGTATAATTGACAAAATTCAACAAACATATTTCATAACCTATAAATAATGATATTCAGAATAATTTTTCCATACCCGTATTTTTAGTACTTCTTCTGCTGGCAATGGATCTGGAAACGATTCCGAAGGCTGTCTGTCAACGAAATGTAATCCGCAAACGTATGTATATTTGTTCACATCGGTTATAGAAACAAGACCGCACTGAGTTACCCACCTATGGCATTTTTGACATCCTGGACAAACGTCAATGTGACGCTTTGTGGGATTTACTAACTTATTCTTAACTCTGAAACACGGGCTCAGAAAACTAACAAAACAATTCGAAGCATATTTACTATCTGTCCTACAACCTCTAAAAAAACATCGAAGAGTTTTATTCATAACAGTATCCCCAACCTTTTTATTCTGTGTTCTGTTCATAGTGAAATTCCGAAGGATCAAGGATAGAACACTGATAATGACACTTTGAATATCTGAAAAACCAAATCTCACTTATCACCGACCACAAAATATGACACTATAATGAAAAATGTATCTAACGTAACGAAAGAAACCGTGCGTGCAAGGCAAATTACACTAGAGTTTCATCAGAACAAAAAACTAAACCAACCGTAGGTCCTTCGAACATAACCTACATAACGTAAAATATCGACTCATTCAATCGGTAATATGGTTATATACTTTGATTAGAAGGACGCAGGACTAAATAACCCAGAAATTGAGGTACCGTTTGTACAATCACTAACTCAACATCAAATATACCATGTCATAATGAATACTATACTGTTGCTAATGACACTATTTCACTTCACTTTTCACTACAACGATAATCTAACCTACAAACATGATAGTACGTCACTCTACTCTTTCGCGAAGTGATTGTTCTTTATCAGATATACACTATACACTCTTCTAATACGACTAGTGCCTAGAGACGAACGTGCAATGTAGTGAATGTAGACAAGCTATGAATCATTCTGAATTTCTAATGAAATTTGACATTTGCATTATTAGATGAAGTAAAAGTAATAACTGCAGAAAAAAGTATTTTCTAAAAATGTGTTGAATACTAGTTTTACAACATAAATGTGAATAATTGTTAATGAAAGATATTTTCTACACAATAAAAATAATTCGTCCAGCTGAAACGGATGTTCGTTTCTAGACTCTTTTAAATCTTTCAATCAAAAACTGAATTCAGCGTAGACCAAACATTCAAATACGTAAATCGTATATTGTGTATTATCATTTGATGATAATACACAATTATTTGATGATAACTTTACGTTATTGGAAATTACATTTTTTTCAATTCCTTTTTCTGATAATTAGAATTCTTAAAATGAAGAGAAGAGAAATGAAATTTTTTATGTTTTTACCACTTTTATTACTAACATTACTGCTGTTTTGTCCTAGGTATACGGACATTTTCAAACTTATACAATAAACTCTTTTTATTGTATAAGTTTGAAAATGTCCGAATTATACAATAAACTCTTTTTATTGTATAAGTTTGAAAATGTCCGTATTGGACGAAACTGTAGTAACGTTAGTTACAAATAAAAGTGGTAAAAAACAAAGAAAGTTTCATTTCTCTTTTCTTCATTATGATTCCCTACCACGTAGTAACGGCTACAATCATCAATTTAATTCATAAAATGACCCAAGTGGTCGTTTTCAACACCGGAGGATGTGACTTTCCTTTTTAAAAGTTATTCTTATTCATTAATTCATGGGTTAAATATTTGATAAACGGGCGGTTTTACAACTACCTATTTCCTTATAAAAATTAATTATGAATGAGTTGACTTATATTAAATATATAATTAAAACAATCGGTTAGCATATCTTCGTCACGTTTTTTTCAGACAACTCAACGCTACAGCGTACAGTTGTAACCACAATATGAATATAATCAATATTACTGGAGTTTTTTCTCAAAAACTCCTGTAATATTCATTACTACACCAAAGGTTCCAAACAGTGCATCATAATCATAAATGAATATAATCTTTTAAATCTATACCTATATCAAAGCTGTGTTAATACTTCATGTAAATGAAGTGTTTGTTTTCAAGAGAAAACATTTTGTTGTTCACCCAATTAATATATACTTGATTTATAAATTCGCGATAATCAATATTTTCTTAAAACAATGATCAAAATACTACGTTTTTCTGACATTATATTGTAATAAAGGCTGCCACTTTTGGTGAGTTTTGAGGTTAGAATAGCGCCCATAGTTGAATTGAATCAAGTGTTTTTATATACCCTAATTCTTCATTAGGATATTAATATCTAAACAAACATGTAGATATACTATATCTACATTTGTTATGATGGAACTGAGATATATCATCTTTCAATAAGTTTCATGTTATGTTATGAAATAGTACAAACAGCTGCAAGATGCATGTAGTTGCATAATACAGATGTATGATAATGAGAACATTTCGAACTTGCAGCCTTTTTTTACAACGCTGCATGAACGAGTCTTGTTTTTATTAATCTGGGAGATAGATATTATTTTGTTAATTTTGTACACCTACTAGAATCATTGAACTTAATAGTAAACAAGTTCAGTGACTTGAAACTAGGACATAGGAATTGGATAGATATGACATTATTGTTCCTAAGTTATTTATTATATATCATTATATTGAGTGGAACCTTTTCAGCTTATTTGCAGAATGACGCTGCATCAAAAGAAAATGAAAAAAGGTGTTTCGCCGATGAATCAAACTATTAATCTCAAGTTTACTAACATGACAATACGCTAGATGAGTCACCAGAGTATCTTGTTAAATTATTAGGTTCTCTAATTGAATCGGCCGTTGCTAGATAAAGATCCATTGTAATTTCATAAACTACACCTTACAATTTGATCTTTCAGTACGTCATTCACTACGAAAAAGCTACTGTGATAGCGAAACATGCCGTGATATGTGATATGGGACAAAAAAATGTGGGAATCTTCCAAAGAAAGAAAGGAAGCAATGAATTTCAAAAATTAACAAACATGCAAAAATAAGTAGGTAACTCCTAAAAATATACCTAACCCTTTCAATTTATATGTCATATATGTTTCATATTGGCGTAAATATTAGAAGGTACAGAAAATAATTCGTGTCTAGTTAATTATTTTGTAACTTAGGTATACAGTAGGTTAGGTAACGTAGGTTAACAAAATTTGAAACCAATTGATGTCATAATACATGAAATTTCCCAACCTTGTCATGTTGAACGAACCCTATACAGTTTGTTGAGGGAGAAAATACTTAAAAGAATACCCAAATCCGACATTCATAATCAAAATCACACGCTCAAATTCGAAAACTTTCTTGAATTTTACTTGATATTGTTTTCATCATAATTAATATGCAATCAACCTTTCGACCTACGGCACTCTTGATGAAAAAATAATAAAGAGATCCTAAGTTTCAGCCTCCAATTCATGGAGGTGCAGAGTACATTTAAAAGCAACTTGAAAATGTCAAATTGCTACTTCAATTTTCAATGTTATTTATATTTAGAAATGAATTGATATCTGTTGAAAAATTTGTTACATTATGTTTCATGAATTAGGTAAAGATCTGAATAAAATACGAGCGACAGATTTCGATTCATTCTCTTTCAACATGTTTAAAACGTTGGGTCAGTCTCATTTTACGCGTCGAGAGATTAAACTTCATAATTTTATCTCTCTTTATTTGCCACCAATGAGCAAAGTTGAATCTGAATTTACTCTTTTTGGGGGTTAGGTTAGGTTAAGAGGTTTGGTTGGTTTAATTTTCATTTTTTGCCAAGAAATTTCTCAAATCCAAAGGCTATAGAAATGTGAAGAAAAATGGTTTGATAAAAAAATGTAGGTCAAAATTACAGGAGTAAATTACCCCCCAAAAGGGGTAATTTCAACTTTTCCTCATTAGTGGAAATATTAACATGTCAAAAGAGATAATATGAAGTTTGATCAAAACATTCTGATAGGAAGGCCTTAGTCAATGAAATATTATGAAAAAACACAAGAGTAAAATATCTTAGGAAGGCAATAACATAAAAAAGATACAAATATGAAGTTTGATCGAAATCCTTAGTCAGCGATTTTTTTAAATCGCATTAGTAAAAACTAACCCTTATAAGAATAGATTGCTTGTTTGGTGTATCCAGTAGGTAATATTCTTGTACATTTTTTAAATGAACGATTCGGATTATAATGTCATATTTGGGGGATCCTTTTATGGCCAGCAAATTGTCCACCCTTAGTTATTGATAATATAGGTACTTAGAAACATTGGTGTAATGTTGATCATTGTTTCATTATGCCCTTATGATGATTATTATGTTACATTGGTGGGCAGTGGCGGACCAGCCAGTTATTTGTTGCTGCAAACTTCAACTACTATATCCAGTGTATCAAATCGATTTAATGGAAACATGTTTGTTACCTTCGCCTTTCTAAGTCCAAGAAGCAACACCACAAAATTTGAGAGAAAAATTACCTAATTTTGCAATAATTTTAGTAACTTGAGTTTAGGTTTAAAATATTATATCCTTAACACACATGAAGTATAGGTACAAGATGAATCAGATTCTAGAAGTGAGTTGGATGAAATTGACGAATTGATGAAAAAAAGTGAAAAACTATTTGGAAAGTTGTAATACATGTTTAAATTTTTTTGTTAGTTAATGCCAATGTACATCTAATCACCTTCCCTTCCCACAAAATTATCCTCTATCACTACCTTGGACAATGCCTTAAATCCCTGTAGACCAGTCTTGATAGAAAAAAAATCAGATGACAATAGGGTTATCACATCAGCTTTTAATCACTTGAAGACGAATCATGTAGACTTCAATATAGTCTACTCTGATGCATCTAAAATAGAAAAAGGGGTAGAAGTAGTTATCATGTACAGATGACAGAGGCAGCCACAGCCAATCATCAAATTCAAGTTAGTTTTATGTCATGTTGAAATCGAAGGTAATGGAAACGCAGACCTAAAATAGCAAGAAAAGCTATTATTATTCTACTTACTCCTGTAGAATCGAGAGTAGTTTTACTGATCTGAAATCCATTCATAAATAAATAGTTATTAACTGGGAATAGCACCACAACCATTCTTCTAAAGTGAAGAAATTGGTTCTTCCACGGAAAAACCTCCCAGTGAAAAAACAAGTCTTCTAGTACCTAAGCATAGGCCATACGTTGACAAAATACGTGCCACAAACTAGTACAGGAAACAATATTGTTAGAATGGGTGTCATAAGAAAGATAGGGGAGGAACGCAATAAGCGCTTATAGGGCTGCAGTGTTTTCTGGAGACTCAGAAGCAATGTACAACTCAGATAGCTCCCAGGTGGAAAAAAATGCCAGCTACACCAGAATGACAGGCTGTGAAAGACAGGAGAAAGTTGAGATAGCGCAAGATTTGTTATATTTCTTAATCTTATATTAATTTCACAAAAGCCTTGGTTGTTCCACTTACCATAATGTTTACTTTTTATCAGCTGCAATTTGTAAAATTTAATGTTGTAAATAGAAATGTAGCTAATAACTCTTGTGGCTGATGGGAATTTGTTGATATAAAAAATTTGTTTTAATAATTAATATGTACTAGTTTTTGTACCTGTATTTAAAAACTCAATTTTGGATTGTAACTTTTAAAATTTTCGTTTTAGAATATTTTTGTAAATTATCCTACGTTTTGAGAATAATACCATCGGCTTCCGAAGACTTCCATCGAGATATATAAGCACTACCAACAGACAGAGGAGGAAGTGTAATTGAAAGTGCAGTACAAAGTGAGCTAATAAGGTGATACATTTGAGTATTCGTCCTAAGTTCAGTTAGAACGTTTTTGTTGTATTGTTAGTGTAGTAATGAGATAAAGTCGGATTTAATCCTATAGTGTGGTGAATTATTGCCGAACCTACGGGAAAAGTAACATTATCTTTATTTAAATTGACAGGAAAATATTTTTAGGACATATTGGTTTTTTAAGAAAATGTTTTGCTTTTGTACGAAAAAACTGTCAAAAAACTACTTTCAATTTGAATGAAATTACTTAGGCTGAATCAACTGACCGTATGAATTTGTATACCTACTGTCATCTTGACAAGAGCAATTTTGTCTCTTCGGGTGGTATACAGTTGTAATGGTATGAAATAAATTAGTGCTTCGTGTTGTAATGTTATCCAAAACAGTAACGTGATAAGAAATCTCTTCCGAAACTTCAAGGTACACCATCGAGGATGACAGTGTTCCATGTATTTGACATTTTATATCAATACTTTCATATATCAAATTATGTAGCAATACTAGGGATGATATGTTTCAATTTTAAAACGAATGTTTGTAGTTCAAACTGAGTGGGAAAAAGTTATTTTCGTGTAATTCAAGGTTATGAAAGTATTTTGAAAGGGAATTTTGTTGCAGTTTGTATCTGAAAAAAACTTCTGTATATACTCTATTATAACTATATTTATAAAGAGTTTTTATTGTAGTTAATTCCAATTTTCTTTCCTTTGGAAGTGTCCACATTTTTTGTTTGATGACAGAGAAGTAGAAAGCCGAACGGTTTTTTCCCAAAGTATTTTATGTGTGTGTCACCGAAGCAGTTTACTGTTCAAGAAGGTATATTTGGTTTTTATAAATAACTTTCATTGTCTTCCCTTCTGTGATGTACTCGGCTCCCAGGCGTCCCGGGGTTTCTATTTTGCAAAACTATTTCTACAAAATGGTTTCTTCTGCTCTCATTATTGCATAAGAGTATTTTTGAGAATTCAACTCTCATTTCACAATACAAATATATTCTGTCAAAGAGTACTTTTCCTTTATCATTTCAAAGGTAAAGAAACAGGTTTTCAACTTTGGTTTTCCAAAAAGAAAATGATATGTAACATTTGTTGTTGAGTTTGGTATTCATTTACTTATGACCTACATCAATAGCGACTTCAAGAGCCTCTTCAATGCCAAAGATAAAAGTGACAATGACCTCAATTACTCAATGATTTAGAAGAACGGTCCACTGAAAAATTCTATTACAAAAAAATTTTTTTAGCAAGGTAAACAAAATTCAACAAACGAATCCAATCCGACCTTCAGAAATCTAGAAAATAAAGGAGTACTACATTCATCTTATGCCATTGATCAGTTTCAAATAAAAATTCAAAATATATCCTTAAATGTTCTAATTGAATGACAGAAATAGCTGCAATCTACTTTTCAAGAAGATCAAAGCTGTTGACACAAATAAATGTACATACATATTGGATATAAAAAAAGAATGTCTAACAACTGAAATAATCTAAAGTTACTGGGAAATGAAGGTATTTGATTGAAACATTTCAAATAAATTATTTTTCAACTTTAATATCTGAGCATAAACTACAGTTACTAAGATATACTTTATATTCATTAAATCGAATATGAAAGATTTGGAGTATATACTGACTGGATGAAAGACTAGATATATTTATAATATTATACAATGATTATTTTTCAGTACATATAGTTAGTAAAATATGAATATGAAATAAAAACCAAGAAATAAAACCTTGGAATAAAAAAGTCATTCATTGGAAAAAAATGTTTGAAACCAATCACATATCAAATCACACAATGTTAAAAGACGTTGCTTCAAACCACAGTTTTTCTCAAAACAAATCGCTATCCAATCCAATTTCTTCAAGAAAAAATCCCATTGGAGTTCTAGTGAGTCCCAAATTTTCCACTTTATTCACAATTTTGTTTTTGATATTTCTGAGCCTCAAGGAAGCATGGACAAATATTGCTAAAACAATTGATACAATTGAGCTAATGTTAGTTAATTGTTACTTTCATCCCATGAATACATTCATATTAAAAAAAATTAGAAATGATATAGGTAAATAGGTGAGATGGCAAGATATCTTGATATATTTATATGGACAAGCATGAACAGGTTCTAAGTTCTAATAACTTCTTCATCCACTGCAAATTTCCCGCTGCTGAAGATTTTACATATCATTGGGTATATTTATAAATATATCATTACCAGTTCAATTCTCAAAAAGAAAATTCTTAGGAATACCACTCAATTTCACAAGGGATAGTAAAAAACTAAATTCATTTAATAAACATCAGTAACACTTATATAAAAAAATGTCATATACTAACAAGAAATATTTTTGTTGAGAAATACATTTTTTGACAATTTGTTCTCAATTTTCTATCAATATAACACTGAAAATATAGGGATGAATAAAACTTTCTTACCTGAAACTGGTAGAAGAATACCTAGAAAAAATACAAGTAGAGACTGCAACATGTAGGCCACAAAGTAACCACCAGCAAAGATTATAAATACTGAAAGGATAGGGTGGTTTCTCTTGAAACGTGCAGCAGTAGCTTTTTCATTTGTTACATAAACAAAAATCATGAAAATAACTGCAGTCGCTAAAAATCCACAAGCCATTTTCACCGGATGTATTAGTCTGAAAATATTAAATTGAAAAAAGTTGTGGAGAAATAATTCTCACACAAGAAAATAAAAAAAATTCTTACCCAACTAAAACAAAAATCAAAATGGACATCAGGAAGTAATTGGTTTGGTAGTACAGAAGATTGCTTGTAACTCGATTGCCCCATTTCTCAAAGTCTTTAACATTTGGTATTTGAAATCTAGCAGCTTCCATCAAAAAATCATCTAATGGTCTAAGAGGAGCAATCTCAAAATCACTGGACTGTTTTTTACTCATTTTAATATGGTGAGTATTTATAAATATACAAATTGAAAAATTCAACCAAAATGAAGGATGCCGATACAATTTCTGGTCACTTATAGGAATTTAACATTCAATAATAAATCATTTCTATAAATAAACAAATGGTAATTTGGTAATATACACATCACAGCAAGACACCAAATGTCAAACAGCAGCACGTCGCACATCACAATGGTCACAAGCAGTGTTGCCAGAAATATTTTGAACGATTACAGTTCTGCTGGGAAGAAATTACCGTTTATTACCTACGAAACGTATAACTAAAATTACAAAAAACTGACAAAATGACAAAAACCAAGCATGTTTTGAAAAATTTCAACAATTTATATATCTAAAATGAATGATTCTTCGATAAACATTTGATAGAAAAGAGTTGTTTATTTTGACAAGATCCACCACATACTTAGTTTTTATAATGTTCTCAGCAACTTCACTTTCTAGGAACTGAGTAATATGCATCGATATAGAAAATTGTAAATATTTCGAAAACGATCACCTCCAGCGTTTTTGAGAAAAGGTAACTTTTTACTTGGAAAAGGTGTGGGAATTAGTTTTTTCATGAAAAGTACCAAAAGTTTACTGTCAAACAAGTTAGGGAAATTTGAAATAAATAATGACAGCGACGGCAGTGCCCTGGGTACCAAATTTCGTGCAGATAACTTATTGAAGTTATTTTTGAAAAACGAACAAATAAAATTTAATTTCAACACCCTGTATCTCCAAAACGAGGCATTTTCGGACACAAGTTTATATAGACTTTTTTCTTAAATTTGTTACACCCTGTATTGTTCTCTGTAACGCAACTATTTTTATTTATTATGAATAATCTTTATAAAACAGTAAATATTTTTCCTGAGAAGTCTATACTTATATGTTACCATTAAAAACCATTTCAAAATCTTAATTGAAATTCAAATAGATTACTATCTTCAAATTCCTGTATTATTGGTACACTTTATGTTGTTTCCGATTATACCGACATTTTTATCATAAACAGCACAACAAAAAAGTTAACGATCAAAGGGGGGTTGTATTTAGTTGCTGTAATATTTGAATTGAATGTTGAATTTTGTTATGTAACAATAATTTCTACCAAACCAATCTTAAACTCGGCCAGTGTCTCTGTCTTGTCTATTAGAAGCGACGCGCAGATATTTTTGAGATCAAATACATCTATTAGTTTTTTAAATCCATATAAATTTTCAAAAGATCAAAATTTCAGTTTTAGATTTTTTATATAACAATTTTTTAAAATCTCTCACTACTACACGGTAACCGCATTACGGAGTTAAAATTAGCGTATTTTTACTGAAAAAATTGTAATCTTACTGGTTTTGGCAACAACCCGATCAGCCTTACCATTTGAAAATTATCATATTCTTCAATTTTTCAATAAAATTGACATTGAAAATGATATCCGACATATCCACCAGTTCACAAAAACTACATGAAGTCAGTGGAGAAAATACCCGTGTTGAATTACACAAAAAAAAGGAATATTTTTTATAGTGTTTCTTCATTCGTTCATGTCGCACAGAAGTCAGTTTATTTAGTATAAAAAAAATTAAAATGAAAGATGAAATGTCACAGTTCTAATGGCAATCAAAGAATCATGAATTTTGTGTTTTTTACCACAGAGTCTATGACTATTTGATACTATCTACTGAAAGTTATGGAGAATTTTGATATCAACAAAATAAAGTATCTTCTGTATAATTCAGTGTTCATATAGAGTATTTGTTTCGAAAGAATAAAAAAAAAATGATAATCATCTCTAGACAACAAAATACCAAAAAAAAAATTCCAAAAATATTGAATTTCTCTATTTGTTTAAAACAATTTAATAAAGAAATGACATAAAAAATTCATATCCTATGTTAATAACGATTAAATATTAATATGTTTTGAGTTATTAACGAAAAACTAAATACCATTTTTTTAAATCTTATTTTGTTAATAACAATTGCAATTTTTTATCAGCACCAAAATCCTCCAAAAACATTTTTCTAGAGGTGATTCCGAATCGAATGAGCTATCCCTCATATTTTTAGGACCGTTATCCCTATTTTTCATGTTTTTGAATTTGTTGATTAGACTTCACAGAATAGTTTACTATTCTGTGTTTCTACGGTGTTGTGGGAGTGTGGGAGATATTTACATTTACTTATCATCCAAAATAGAGAGAGAGAGAGAGAATAATTTAACAATTTGTGTATTTTGCTATATTGAGGTTAGGGAAAATTTCAAATTAGTGCATGATTTTGATATTTTATATTAAATGAACATATCCTGCCCCACCACTCTTTGGTTCTAAAATTTCAAACGTTTTGAACCATACCATTGACAAACTAAATATTTATTTTGTTTATGAAACACACCCAGACTAATACAAAATGTTGTCTTCAATGGTTAAAGAGCACCAAACCAAACAATCTATGAAAAAAGAAATGCAGGAAGTTAAACGAAAGGAAGCATGTTCTGCAGCAAACGATCTTACGCAAGCTCTGGTAGATCATCTGAATGTTGGAGTAGCTCAGGCCTATTTGAACCAGAAAAAATTAGATGCAGAAGCTAAACAACTTCATGCTAGTGCAACAAACTTTTCAAAGCAGACTCAGCAATGGCTCAACTTAGTTGAATCTTTCAGTGGAGCACTCAAGGAACTAGGTGATGTGGAGAATTGGGCAAAGACAATTGAAGGGGATGTTAGAACCATCACTAATGCACTGGAAATAGTTTACAAGACTTCTCAAGAAAATGATCATGTATAATGTAAAACTTTCTTATTAGAATATAAAGAGCAACAACAATTTTGAAAGAGATTATATATAATTCCAAAAAAATCTAATTTTTGGGAAAACTTGTTTTGCCTTTTCAATTACATAATTTTTTTCATTATACAAAAAGAACCTAGAGAAGAACTGAAGAAAGTAAACAACATAATAAAAACTCTTTATAGAGATATGTAGGTAGATCATGCACAGAAATGTCTTTCATATACAAACTGAAAGAAAAAGTCCATTGGAAGCAACCTAAATATATGAAGTCTTTTACTTATTCGCAATTCAAATTTCAACTTACATAGAGAAGTTTTGCATAACTTTACAAGACACATTCATTTATTTCATAAAATTATGACTTGATGTGACTGAAAAAGAAATTCTGTTCATGTCACAACAACAGTTTGTAAAAGCATTCTTACGGTTAGTTAAATTAATCACAGCTATAGGAATGAGCAAATGGAGACAAGTGTTTTCATCTGAAACTTGAAAGTACACTGGAAGTTTGATTATTTTTCACACCAATGAATTTTTAATATTAATACTTTTCAAATATTACATTTCTGATTCAGTACTATCAGGGATCATTGGAGCACTGAATGAATAAGAAAAAGTGATTTCCATATATGATTCAATATTTATATTTGAAATCAATTATTTCGTATAGCATTTTTCTTACTGTTTGTATCTGAAAGAAACTTTTGAACATGATTTACACATCTTTGAACATTGTTTTTATAGAAGTTGATTACATTCTTTATATCTGAAAATTTTTCATTGTCGAATCTCTGAACAACTCTGTACTTTCAAAACAGCTTCAATAACTTTAGTCGTTACAAATAAGAAAAAATATCGACTTTTCAAGAAGAATGTCAAAATTCCTCTTTTTTTATCAACAAGAAAAAAATTCCAATGGAAACAGCTCGATATACACCGTGTTCTCTAAAAAAAATAACATATTTTTTTCTTGCCTACGTCCAATGTTTACAAAAATTAGTCCGAAATATATTCAAGAAACTTGATTGTGAGATTTTCACTATACAGTTTTACAAGAACGCAACACGCTATACAATATACTTTTCAGTAGTATCTTAAATTATTTAGAGGACTTTGACTCCTCAAAGGCTTATTTTTTATCAGATACTGAAGTTCATCAGCAAAGCTGTCAGTGTGAATGTCAGACATAAAGGATATACTTCATCCAACTTTTTTATTATTGAAATCATTGTCCGAGAAAATTCATAAATCCAAGCAGTTTCTCGTAAAACTCGGGCTACGTAATTAATATCTGGCAGCAGTATTTCTTGTGTTGAAATGTGAACTGATGAGATATTATTCTTGTCCGTCATGTTTGTCCTAGTTGCAATGTATGCGGCGTTTAGCTTAGAGTGGACCCAACGCTAGTCCTTAGGGTTAGTAATTACTCACCGAATCGGGGAGTAATCTCCCCGATTCGGCGAGATCAAATTGTCCAAGTTTTCTTGGTCGAGTCTGTCCACATATATATTTGTGGATCATTTTGCTATTACAGCACCTCGGAGTTCCAGTATTGGAATCGAAATAGGTTTTGTCAGAGCGACTCTAGCACGACCTATAATAAAAGTTATCTCTACACTGTCGAAGGTCAATATCTTCCGGTAAGCGGCAGTAGCGAAAGCTTTTTAGCTGGCATCGCGAAATACGTGAAGCTCCAACTCAAAAAATAGCATAAATAGGATTTTAAAGGTTTTTAATGTTGATTAATATGTTTTCTACATCAGTCAGTGTCGATTCAGATCCTCATCTACATGGTCGTCCCATCCCATAATAGAATGCCAAATAATATCTTGCATTAGGATACGTGTGTTTCAATTGCAAATTTCACAATAAGTCCAAGAGGGTCAAAAATGAACATTGTTGTCTTGGGAACTTTTCTTTTTGTCGGTTGTCAATTTTGGTAATTTGGAGTTAAATGTCGATATCTGTATTCCACAAAAGTCCCAAAAATCGCTGTTTGGTGATCGCAGTCTGAGTCTTTTTGGAATTCGTTGTTTTCAGATAAAATATTCATTAGGTATTTGCTGTATATATATTTAACTAGTTCAAATCCTATCTTTTTGTTACATTTAACTTCGGAAATGATGTGGAGAGCTTGGTCTACAGTGTATGTGCAAAGTAATCGTCAAGAAAATGCTTCTTTAGTATGGCTTTAAAAATTTATTTTCGGTCTGTTAGCTGTTCTGTATTCAAGTTCTTCACAAACTGAGCACAAGAGAGTAAGCACGTTGTCCCAAAAGTCATGACTTGCATTTCATATGCATCGAGTTCTTGTGCGTTCCGTCACAGGAATCTTTGCGAGCTATAAGAGTGGATAACTTTTTTTGGAACGGTCAAGTGGATACTATCTCGTCCAAGTAATATCATCGGTTGTTCGTCAATTTTAGAAAAACGAATTCCTCAGATATGTGGAAGCCTTTCCCAATCAGTTTTTCGTATGATTTGAGTTGTAAACAAGAAGAGACTTCATGTCTCGAGATCATATTATTTCTCCACTGTATGAACAGTACCCTCATCGTTGTAAAGCTTTACCTTTATCGTTCGTTGACTGGAATTTTGCGTCTCAAGTATTATATTTACCTGGATATCTTTATGGACTAATCGATGGTGATTTATTTTGCAGCCATTGATTCCACACTGACATTTTACTCGACATTTGATTGTCTGATGGTTATTAGGGAGGCATGAAAAGCATAATTTGAGATTTGTATCACATTCTTATTGTCTGTCTATTGCGACAGTCTTCATTTTGGGTCATTTTGAGATAATATGACCTCTAGAGTAGCAATATTTACATATTTTGTAACTTTTTCCATGATCAGAGAAAGTCATCAGCGTACCTACTTTCATTCCTTTTTCATGTTGTGAAAGGGTCTGCTTCCGATTAGAATTGTAAAATTTCTTGGAAAATTTGCGAAACATGTTGCGGAAGCTTTTTCATCCAACCAAAAGGAAAAATCTTGTATATTGACTCTTCCAAGTCAATATTCCAAGTCCATATTATATTGTTTGATATAAAATAACATTTTTATTTTGGTGATGCATCCATATAGATTACCTATTTGATCTGGGCATTTAAGACGCCTAGGGTCCTCAACCTCAAAATTAAATCTATGTTAGATGGTGAAGTCATCATTCCTGATACTGCAAGTTTGTCTTTTCCATGCATGAATTTTTAGAATTTAACATTTTTTCTCAGAGGAATAGTTAGATAGGGTATATACACATCCGAACTATGTAATAAACCCAGGCCGGCCATTCTTCAGGTTTACCATCAAAGTGTGTGAAGTCTTTTTCAACTACCTGTCTCGCAATAAATTTGTCAAGGTTTTTTATAGTGGAAATTGATTTTTAGCACCTATAGTTTCATATATTTGGCATATTTCTGACTTTATTATCAATTATTTCATTGTCTGCTTGTTCTGCTGGAGGAAATTCAGAAACGTTGGTGATCTTCTGAACGATATTTTTTTCTGTCGATATATCATCAGTTGATATGCATATTATTTCAGTTTCCAAATTGTCTTTTTTCAGTTTCTGAATTGTCTTTTTCCAGTTCCATCAATTCAAGTTGGTTTTTAAGTTTCTTGATTTCAATGGTCTGTTTGAGTGTTTCCATATCAATGGCAGGTAGGTAGGTATTTGAATAATGATGGAATATTAGAAAGCCAAAAAGCGTTTCCCCGAATAACTAATATATCTTTTATAAAAAAATAACCTTTTCTATATTACATTCATTTGCTAATAGAAATACCATTGATAGATTAACGTGGATTAATTTAAGAGATTTTTTATGTCAATTATATACATGAATATTTTGTATGGACATAACTTGTGTTTGGTTATCATGATATTGTATTGTATGGGCTTGATAATTGTATATACTACAGAAACAATTTATAAATTGCGTTGAAGCTATTTTCCTGGTTGGCTGGCTGTGTTTTGGGTGTCCTCGAAACATATTCTACAGAATTGGTTTGTGTTTCCGAATTTATTCTGTTGGTGGTGAGCGTTTCTCCGTTCCTGTTGGTTGAATTAAATAACCTGTTATGAGAGCAATTAAGTGCAGGTAGCCATATTTATTATTGTTAATTCCCTCTTAAAATTATTTCTGTTTCTATTGTTTCCCTATATAGGCGACAATTTATTTCAGAGAGCCGGGTACTTACACTTCTCTTCGCAGTTACATTGTAGACCGATTCACCGCTACAAGGGATCCGGTAAACCCCCGTTGTTGCTTAAGGCCCTTAGCTCTTGAGGATTTAGTTCACATATGGCAGGATTTTTTTTTACCGGCGGGCCTATTTGGAATAGCCTTGGCATTCTCATTTCTGGGTATCAGCTTCGCTACACTCATTCCCTTTGAAAGCTTTAAGCTTTTTTCAGATGATTGAGTTCCTTGAGAAGATTCTAGGTTCACAAATGCATTTGACTCTTTCAAGTGGAGTTTTATTTACCTCTCTGCAGAAGTGCCAGTATGCCAAATCTGTGAAGAATGATCAATAAACCAAATTTTTGTTAGAGGTGATTTCTGCACATATTTGGAAATCTTGTAATAATATGTGGAAAGCTCTAATTCGCATCCGAATAAAAAGTATACCTAAATAAACATATAATCAGAATTCATTTATGTAAGTAAAAATATCTTGTGATTAAGGTCATATAAAAATAATAACATGCATATGTAGGTAATTATATATCTTTTATTGAAAAAAATATTCCTAGCATGTGATTGAAACTGGGAAAAAATTATTCGACAAATGAATTAATTTTTGTGGGGATATTTCGTAGAACATGCTTCCAGGCATAGTACCAAAGTTTACCATAGTATTCTGTAGTCTTTGATAGTACTTCTTTTTAATTTTTTGGATTTCTCACAATCAACATTCTTCTCTTGTTCGCACACAAAGATTCAGGTTTCTGTTTTTATAAAAGAAATTGATTCACCATCCAACAGAAATTATACAATAAAACGTAAAAAATTATAAAAGAAACGAGAAAATTCCGAAGCACATTGAACAGAGTTACTAGAATAAATCATGCTCTATAGACATAGCAACTTTTGTGCACTTCCAACAACTTGCTGAATCTATAATTGGGATTTAAAATCATATTCAAATAGGACGGATCGCGCGCCATCCAAGTTTTATCAAACATCCATTGGACTTGATGTCGTGAAATGGGTAGGAGGAGATGGGGTGCATTGATACATGGGGCACATAGATACAGTCAATACACATCGAAAAAAAACGCGCTAGAAGAGCCGCCCGTCACATATAGGAAGGTAATCACATACCAAAGAGTACACCAACTAACTGTAGTCTTTGAATCATACACCCTACACGCACACTAGCGCGGAGCAACGTTCACTAGACGATTAACGCTTGGCACGTGTAAACCTGTTTCTGACGTTCGCAACAACATTTTCATAAGTTGTTTTTCGGATGTGATTCTTCTAATATATTTAGCGTTGCCTGTGATATATTAGGATATTTGGTAAGTACATATTATATGTGGTTACATTATGTAGACTTCAATTTTTTTTAGAATATTTGTTGCTTTAATTTTATAAAATATTCATTTCGATTGTAGTAAGCAGGGGAACATTGATGCAAGTGCTATCGGGGCACACAGATACGTATCAATGTTGAAAAATATATTTAAAATATGTTTTTCCGTTAACCAGCTATCGCACCCCTACGAACGACCACCCTCAGAAGTCGAAACTTGTTCGAGCTACGGTCTTACCTTTTAACGTGTGATTCCTAACACGGATTGGACCATAGCAAGTGAAAATCGAGCGTTCAGCCTGGGGCTTGAACCATCGACTCACACATCGGCCAATCGACTGAGTGAACAAAGCACCCACGTCGAACCGCCCGGCTACCGACAGACCAATAATTTGTTAAATGTATGTTCATGTAAGAATTACATATTTTTATTACTTTATAGAAAAATGGTTCGAACATTTAAATGCAAAACGGAGAGAACTTTCATCGATGAAGTTTCTGTGGCTTCTGCGATATCTGACGTGTTGGAAGATGAGTAATTATCAATAAAAAAAAAAACAAAGAATAGAAGAGCTGCAAAGAGCTAAGGATGAAGCAAATCTAAAAAAGAGAAACGAAAACGCGCGAAAGATCTGAAAACTGCTCAAAATTTGATAGGCATAACTGTTAATCCCATCAAGAAACCAAGTAAAAGGAAAAGGTCTATATCTACAGAATCAGACTTTTCAATTCAAAATTCTTCTGCTAATATTTTATTACAGAAAGCATTCAATTCTGAAGGATCTACCATGGAATCATCTAATGATGACATTGTTAATACTGCCCCACCTGCAGTAAATAAGTTCATGATGGTGACCATGTGATAACAAAGGTAATTAATGTAGGAAAGAAGTAACCTCATAAGCATTTTGTTGGAAAAATAGTGTCAAAATAACCCAATAGCCAGAATGACTTTCTAGTCTCTTTTTTAAAGCTTAAGCCAACTGGAACATTTGTGTTCTCTGATATGATAGACGAATATTTCTGATATCGTTCTAAAGTTACCAGATTCCATAGTAAAGAAAGGCCCTAGTAGAACAGCTTCTCTATTCCATTTTAAGATACATTTGTTACCTTACAACATTTCAATGTAAGCTAATTTACTTCATAGAAACTAGTGATGACTGTTTAAGTCAATAAAAGAATGATTATAGCTTATTGTCCGAGTATAAAACTGGTGATGACCGTTTAGGCAAATTAAAGAATTTATGATGCACTGTTTGGAACCTTTGGTGTAGTAATGAATATTACTGGAGGTTTTTCCCAACACCAAATCGTTATTTTTAACACCTCGACACGTGTTTCGATCACCAAGTGATCATCTTCGAAAGGAAGATTTAATCTTCTTTTTTTTTTGTCATTTGTTTGTCAACGTATCCTTTTTTTGAAGAATTCGTAATGTATTTCAGAATTTTATACAAGTGAACACTTATAATTCCCCAATTGAAAGTATTATATCCCATTATAGTAAAGCGTTCCTGATACTTCAAAATGACACAGTAATATCTACAAAAAAAAATTGTGCTACACTGCCATCTAGAAATTAAGTAGGCAACTGCTAGAGTTCTAAATTCATCAGTAAATCCCACACAAACATAAAATCAAGAAAGTATTTTATTTCAGGTAATAAATTAGTAATGTTAACTGTACAAGTAGGATACTGAATTGACTTTGATTTTCCATTAGAAAACATCAAAACTCAAGTCCTGTTCAATGTTCCCACATCAAAAACAGTTTCATCTTCTTCATCCTCATTTAGCAGCGGCAAAGGTGTCATTTCCACATCTGACCTTCTGGTTCGAACTCCATATTTACGTACCTTAACATTGGGTTTTCTCCTGGAACATAAACAAGAGTAATAAATCAAAAAATGTGTCATTTACTCTTTACCTATAAGTTTTACAGCCTACATATACCAAAAATAGCATTCCAATTCCAACAAAAACCAATACTCCTCTCATCACAGCACCACTTTCAATGTTTTGTGGTTCAACAGAATCAATTGTGTTACTTTTCTCTGAGGTTTGCACAATTGAATTATTTTTATTTTGTACAGGATTATTCACATGTGAATATTTTTGGTCCAGTTGTTTTTTTACACTAACTTTGCCGAGCTTTTCCTGATTCTTCGAATGATCATCAGTTTGCTGATTACTTTCAAGGTCTTTCTTAGGTTCATTATTCTTGGATTCCTGATCTGATGATTCTATGTAAAAAGAAATTTGAGAACCATCACCATTAAGTACATTGGCAGTTTCAATTTTTTTCTGAGCTGTTGGTCGCATTTCTATTGGTAATCCCTTCATGAATTCAGTTGCCCCTAATACATTGGTAACACACAGAAATCCGACAAAAAAATATTTTTTATATTCCATACTTTTCAGTTTGATTCTGTAATGTTATTTTTTTCAGAAGGGAAATAGTACACATGAAAAAACTGTGGTTATTTTCAACTTAATTCTAAACAAACACAAATAAAAATAATAAACATTTTTGTATCTCTCAACGTTACATTGGTCAACTGTGAAATTGTTTACTATTCTGTGGTGAAATCACCGACATCCTACATCAAACGTCATAGAAGAAAAGTCAAAAGTACATGCTGCATTCGAGTTGATGCTCGGTTCACATGGAGAGTGTAATAAATGACCTCACAGCAGTGCTGCCGTTAAGGTACAAGGTACCGCATTCGGTACTATTCCATGATTTTGATACGAAAGTACTACCCGGATCAATATGTAGATTATTCGGTACTATTTACTATAATTTCAATTTGACTCCCATTGAGTCGTCTGTCAGCAGTACAGCAGAGCAGAACAGCAGTTTTAAGTTTTAACTTCAACTTTGGGAAATTGGTTTTGTTGTTTTGTCAAAATAAATAGGAATATGGACAGGTAAACATAAAATTGACTGAAAATGAACTCAAAATATGTATCCCTTTATTAATTATAAGGTACCTGATAGCATTGGGTCGAGACACACCAAGTTCAAAAGAAGAAAATGGAAATATTCTAGTTCTTGAGTTTGAAAATCAAAGATCAGACCCAGATCTAGATAATAATTCTGGGGATAGAGGTGATGATACATTCCATAAAAAGAAGTATAAAAGAACTTATAAGTATAATTTTAAATGGGATGATGTGAGTAAAAATAAAAAATGTGTATTTTGAAGATTATTATATTACTACTTTTAAGGAGTTCTCAAGAGTTTTGTAGAGGTTTGCTAGAAAATGACCATTGTTTCACATGGATACCTAGCCAAAAATTATTATATAAAACATATTAGATATTATTCATGCAAAAACGTTTGCTATTTTTCATTTGAAAGATTTCATGATTGTTTCTCATTTATTTTTGTGATGTAGGTACAAATAAAAGAATTTCAGTTCTAGCATATTTTTTTGCCTTTCATATTCAATATCACACAGAACCCCGTGTCAGAAATTTCAAATATTCAGAAGAGGAAAATTATCAAATATCATATTTCTTCCGATTTGAAAATAACAATATCCATAGAAATCTAGCTGCTTGAAAACGTTTCTAGTATTGTTCATTCTACTGTGACAGAAACCTAATTAAAACAAAACACATTTGCAATCGTGAAAGAGCAATTTAAAGAAGAAAAAGACACATTTTTATCAAATGTTCTGATTATGATCTTTCTTTTAAGGCACATCTCCTAGTTTCCAGCAAATTTTTTACTCCATATATTTTCCGAACTTAAAGGGATAACATTATTACACGTTTGGCAATACTGGCATTTGGTCTGAAATGACTTATGCGCATGTGTCACGCCTAGGCTTGCGCGGTACATTTTGGGTAGTATTTTCTTGTAAATTTCGGTACTTTTTGAATTGACGTTGCGGCAGCACTGCCTCACAGCAATTCTTGTGAAACTCGGGGAAGAGCTGGATGTAGTCTTGAAATTATCTTCATACGGAATTAGGTCGAATTTCGTCATTTTTCAACTGAATAAGGTGCTCCAAAACCCAGTGAACTCTATATTACCTGGAACGGACCTGACCCGTTTTCTCTAATAGCAGAAAGTGTGTCAGGGGCAGTTGAGAGATAGATTTATTTATGGCAGTGAAATGTTACTATACGTATACCTGAGGTGTTTTCTGATGATCATGAATTCAAAACATATTCGTCTCTGATTCAAATACATTCATTCTGGCGTTGAAACGATGACGTCATATCAACTATGATTTGAAACGTAATCATGATGATTCAAAACTAGCATGAGGTGGGTTTTGAAACGGATTTTGACATTACGTTACGTCAGTTTCTACTTTATTTTGATCGTTATAGTTTATAAAGTGCTGAAAACTTTTCATCAAATACGTTGTAACGTAAGCAAGAATACAGCTGGAAAATTATTACGTGCACAAATCAGATTATAAGTGACATTAGCGAAAATTAAAAAGTTTGTTTTTATTATTGAATTTGACATATGACACAAATTGCTATTCTGGCGAATCTTATTATTAATGACGTAACTACGAATCGTTTTTGAATACACGCTCGAATGCGATTAAACGCCAGAAAACACCTCTGGAACGGACCCACCGACATAACCATAGGTTATGTCATGTCGATGAACGGACCCGCCATGGTCGAAAAGTGAGGCAAATCGATTGTGTAGGCAACCCACATATGTAATGGATATCTATCTCTTTCTATATTATAGTAGTTAATGGAACTGTAGCGCAACATTTTGAATATATTTTAATTTCTCACGTTTATTTTGTCGAAAACATATATTGGTTCTGAACAGTTGCTCAGGAAGGAAGTAATAATAGAAATAGTACAACGTTCAAATGAAAGTTCAACTGTTTTTCCACGGGGTTGGTAAATGAAATGGAAACAAAATCAATTTTTTTTATTTATTATTTCAAAACATAGCTACTTCGACTTATATGTAACAGTTACTAAACAAAATATATTTTGTCGTTGAATGACTTAGTGTGGCACTTTTCCCATGCAATTCTAAATTTAAGAATTAACTATGTTGATACATTCGGCACTTTGCCATATATATGGCAGTAACTTTCCGAATAATCTATTTCATGACATTCTTCACCTACAACTTCCTGAATTATAGGCAAAATGATTCATTACTGCGTTTATAATTATCTGTTTAAAGTTTATTTTCGTTTATTTTAAACATGTCCATAGTTTCTATTAATATAAGGATTTGTTTTTCCGCAAAATGTAAAGTTTTGTAAACCACATCTGAAGCACAAAGAAGACCTCCTTCAGAGCTCCCTACGACAAATGGTGAGTCGAAACAGAGATGTCTGCTGTTGGATCAGAAGTACCATGTACGATAATCGATATTCAACTATTTTTGGATATTTAAATATTGGCTAATGAAATAACTATTATTCAACAGATTTTTATCAGTAGAATAAGTTGAAAACGAATTAATGCTATAAAGAAACTACAGTCCCAAACATCTAAATACACATAAAGTACCAAAGAAGTGCTGTGCCTATAGTTGAGTAATGGCACAGAATAATGATTACTGTGTCCGAGAATACCTACTACAGAGAAGCGACATTAACGTCGGATCCTTTGATGTTCGGTGTCCTAACTCAGAACCGAAGAATTTGAGTGATAAACAACCTGGCTCACTGTGAAAAATGACCTCTCAGCGATATACACTAATAAAAATACATACTCTTACGTTCGTATAAAGTACGTGGGCTCACTGTGAAATATAAAATTATAGTGTGAAGGGAATCTTACTCCATTCAATTTTTATATTGCTAATTGAACAACTTTCGCAGTAATAATAGGGAATATTCAACTATGTTGCCAATTTATTATTATTTATGATGAATTGGCTTTTAAGAAATAAATTAAATTACTTTATTTTGTAAATCCAATTCATTAGATAGAAAATTAAAATAAAGTTACGATAATAGAATAATGCTTATATTATATAATCATTTTATATCCTCTGAAATAAATAAGTCCACTAAGGATGAATAGAAGTGACATTTGTTATTTTATGTAATCTTAACTTAAACTTTCATTAACAACATCAATACAATCTGAGGGTTCTAATTAAGTGAGGTTCCGAATGAAAAAATAATGAAACAAGATATTTAACCAATACCTTATAATTCAAAAATGTGACAGAATCTTAAGTTTCCTTTTTACAGTTTTACCTTTGGTATTATTGATATCTCTATTAGTATATTTGATACTATAAAAAAATTTCATTCTCATGAATAGCTTAATTATGTACATTTTTGGAAAATTTTCACAAGGATGAAGAAAATCTACATCCTTCATTAGGTTGAATAATATATTCGAAACTGCTCCCCCATTAGAAATTTCTCTAAATCGATTGTTAAATAAACATTACAACTGATATATAAAATTAATGAATTCATCTGGTGGTGAGCACAAATTTCCAAACATGTTTTTTTCCGTAGTATAAGCTTTAAAATAGCTTAACAGACGATTTACATCCAATGTCCTGCACTTCGTGCTGAAAGAGTGACACACATAACATGTTTGAACTTCAAGAGCTTTTTTTAAAATGTATCCACAAACGTAAATGAATGAATTCTGAGTATATACATCTCCATTTTTATAATCATAATCCGGAAGGGCAAGGGCTGGAGAAAAGTGATTCTCATCTGATATAAATATATCATTTACGTTTGTGGATTGTATACTGATTAATAAATCATTTAAATCATTCTTACAATTCATATGATTGGAATGAAAATAATTTTGGCAAAACAACTTCCGGAATGCCCTTTGAAATTGTATGGGGGTCGGATTAACATTATTTCCGCATTGTTGTCTCACAGCACCAAAAAAATTTTCAAGACAATCTGAATTGAGTCGTCTCGTTTTTAAATATTTATAATTTGATTTGGAAAGCCCATCCCATATTTTAATTACACTATTCATAGAAATAATCCAACATTTTCTAAATCTGACTCGATTTGTGACATTTCTGTCCTCTGAATTGAAAATTTCAAGATTTTTCAAAAACGTTAGAGCCTCTTCAAAAAATTCTAATTGGAATTTCGAACCTTTTAAAACGTTTTTGTATTTATAGGAATGTCGTAAAGAACACGAATTCAACAAATCAAAAAGGTTATTGAATGTCTCCATTACGTGTATTGTACCAAAAGAAGAAGCAGGAAGTAAGTTCATTGCCACGAATGCATTCATTCCACTGGCAACTGTACGGCTTAGAACGTGTGCTGCTAGACTCACTTTCATTTTTTCAAAATTGTTTGGATTGATATGTGATTTGGTAAGATTTGGTGCGAATCTACAAAATTGCCGTATGTCTTGCTCATAAAAAGAGCGCACAAAAGACCAAGATGTACTTTTGCCTTCAAAATGAAATTAATGTTTTAAAAAACTGTTTCTAGTGGCTTTTATCAAATGACTTGGATCAAAAATATAAACAAGTTTTTTACCACTGAGCTCAAATTCAAATTCTTCTAAAGCGACCCCTAATAACTTTGAGAATTCATAAAAGTTAGAGCCCATGTCACTCACAATGCCATCAACATGCAGACCTATACTGGATAATTTAGAAATGCACTTATCCAAAATATCACGTAGATTTTTTGCTGGTAGCTGTGATTCAATGAAATAAAAAACTATCGGTTGTTTCCAGGGAGAATAAAGTCCTCTAGCCATAATAACGAGAACATTTCTACATATGGAATTCCTCTTATTTGCCTCTCCAATATCTTCGAAACCAATAATTTCATCACATCCTGTATCAAAAAAAAGATTGGATTTTAAAGCCATCTCATCCATAGATATCACACATCGCTTGTCCTGTTCGAGCATTGTTTTAATTTTAATTTCAAGTGCCTTGAATATTGCTGAATTTTCTACTGTTTCTATCACGATGGATTATTCAAAACTAATTACCTCCTGAAACTCTTGCTCAAATAGCATAATTTTAATGTATACCGTGTTAGGTATTTTGTAACTAACTACCTATCTCATTATGTTTGCTCAGTGCCCACGTACTAATGGAGACAACTAAGCCCGAGAGTGACGTGGAGACAACCAAGTCGACGCATGTGTCTACGAAAAAGGGACACAAAATGGCCGTCTTTGTCACTTCTCTGTGATAGGTATTCTCGGACTGTGTCACAGAATTAAAATCTGTGACACTGTGACTGTGTCACATCATAGGTAACAATATGCTCTGATTGTGTGCTGTTTGTTTGTTTAGAATTTATAGCTGTTGTTTGGTTAGAATTTATAGTTGTTGTTTCTTCAGGTTGTGAATTGTTTTGTTTCATATTTGAAAACCGATAGGGCAATATAATGGAACATTTTGAAATTGGGTGTTGTTTCAAAAGTTACAATGAGCTAATAGAAAAACTGAAAGAATACTGCGAAATTACCTGCACGAAATTCACGACAAAAGATTCTAGATTGATTACTAATGAATTTGCCAGCGCCAAAGAAAGTTTTGTTTATTCCGAACTGAAGTTGATTTGTGTACATGGTCGGACCCCCAAAATAAAAGGCGGTGAAAAAAAACGTAAAATTAGAACCTTGAAAATGTAAGTGCATTTTGTATAAATATTAGGGGCAAGTTCATATAGGAATAGTACTTTCGGATATATAAATATTTCCTGAATGGTGGGATGAAGAATGAAGGACTAGTTTTTTTTTCAGCAAGAAGACAGAGTGCCCAGCTTACTTCAGAATCAAATTGATAAACTCTGGAGTAGCTTTGCAAATAGTGGCCATGAATGACAAACACAATCATCCCTTGGAAAAAATTGAGGTGGGTTCAAAATGCAATGATATTAAACCTTGTTAAATGCTGGTATATTGTAATCTTGACAACAAGCCTTTACTTACTCTTACTCTGATACTCTATGCATTCAATTTTGAAACTAAACCTAAAGTTCAAAGTACCAAAACAAGTTTGCATTCCTTGACATAAATCTTGTATTTTAAAAAGTCATAACATTAATGCTTTGATGTATTTTTTAAACCTGATCAAATATTACCTCAAAATTCACCTATTGAACTGGTTAGCCTAGGGAAGAAATGCAAATTTTTCATATACGTACTGAATATATTTCAGTGTTTTTATTTGAAGTTCACCAGATATTTTAATTTCACCACGTAACACCCTTTTATTTTAGTTTCAAATTTAAAAAGAGGATTATTTGTTTCAAAGTTTCAATAAATCATAATATGCAGAATGTCATAAAATCCACATCTAGAACTGTCTAATTTGTATTGATCACTATGTTTTTTAACTTTTGTATAACATTTTAAACATATTGAAGTGCATAAATATCTGTGTGATTTCAGGCTGATAATATGCATATTTCCGTTTATAATGTGAATGGTCAGGAACATGGTTCCTGTTTATGAAATATGATGCATTTGTTTTGATTTGTCTACCTTTTAGACTTATAAAAATTTCTCCATAATTTAATGTTGGAAGATACAATTTTTAGAGAGAAATAGATTGGTTGTCAATTTTATGCATTTATTTCAGGTTGAGGAACCACCCAAAACAAAAAAGAAGAAAGGAAGTTATGACAAAAATATCAGCAGTTTCAAGTTAGAGATAAAGAATGAAGACAGTGTCAGTTCAGAGGATATGCAGGTATTAGTTCAACAAATGAAACAAAGTCCATTGTAGACTTAACAAAATGAAGTTTCAATCAAGAACCATGAACTAGAAAAGTAAATTATTTTTTTAATAGTTCATTCAATGTGGCATAAATGCATTTATATAATTTGTTTTACATTGTTTTCAGCCTTCCGAATTCATTGAAGTTTACATAGATAGAGATGATCCTGATCAAAAAGTGAGTGAACGAAAAATGCACTTGAAACTTTTTCCACAACTTCTATCATTTGCTTTATTGCAGGTCGAATTTTCATTCAGAGGTCTTTGTGCGCCTGTATTTAACGTATTTACTGAAGATAAGTAAGTACTTCATAAATAATTGTATTATTACCAGTTGACAATTGGTCATATTTTCTTTAATTTTTTTAAACCTGTGGGATCAAATGTTTAATCCTTTCGATGTTTGAATACAGGTATTTAAAGCTGTATTATAGATTAGTTAACGCAACACAAGACAAATGTTATCACAAACATTAATGCAAAATGGCACATGTTTATTTTGATTATGCAAAATAATACTGGCACTTCGCATGAGCAAAATTAGAAAACCTTTTTCAATTTTACCCAGCAAAACATTGCTGAAATTCAGAAAATGCAGTGATTGAAGGCAGTGATTGAAAAACAAAATAAAAAATTATGACAAAAACTGACATAGATTTTATAATTGTCAATTGTTGGAATAAGGGATTTCTTGCTGGGACTGGTTGTCTATAAGGAAAATTCCGCAGGAGACTCAACTATCTCTTTATAGACACTTTGTTGCTTTTACAGAGTGGCATTTATAAATCAATGCAGCACTTCAACCTGGATTTATTTATATAACCAGCTTTACTGTTTAAACATATCCCATGTTAAGATCAAATCGAATTAATACAGATGAAGTAGTAAAACCTTTTCTTACATTTTATGACCAGAGTATCATATAATAAAGGGTATTTATTTTCCTCAACTTTTCTACATTCCACCTTTGAAATTCTCACCATTAGATACAAGCAAATGATATTTTTGCAAATTTGAAATTGCAAAGTCTCGTGTTGTGTCAGGTCACTAATTAACTTTGTAACAGTCATTTTAATTTGATTAATTTCAAACAGCTCTCTCAATGTAAGCATCATTCCTGAATATGCAAAATATCTAGCAGATGGAGGAATCACTGCTGTTTTAGGTAATTTCGTTTCAGAATAACATTCTTTTTTTAATTCATTTGCGTTTCAGTTAATGACATCATGGGTGAATGCACGTCTATGTCAGTGTCGGAAAGAAAATCTGTTACTGAGGAATGGATGAAAGCCGTCAAAATCACTAATCAGCATATTATGGTCCAAGTAGGTGGATGTGCCTTACCTGATGTCGTAGATTTAGCAAAACATGCTGAAAAGGTTGGTGTAGATTCTATACTGTGTCTTCCAGAAGTATGTTTTGAAGGGTCTACACCTAAAGAACTTGTGGAATATTTGAAGATAGTAAGTCAAGCTGCTCCTAACACTCCGCTGTTATACCATCATATACCAAAGAGAACTAATGTTGATAGTGAGTAACCTATCAACCTTTTCATATGTAACTCACACACAACTTATGAAAAATTATAAAAAAAAATTTTTTAGCAAATATCATGCTTATTTTGGAGGAGTGTACTGGAAAAATACCCACATTTTGTGGCATCAACTACACTTCCAACGATTTAGAAGAAGGTGTGGCAGCTTTAGAAATAGATAGTAAAAAAAATGTAGTATTTTTTGGAGCTGATAAGGTATTACACATTCACTTCTGGTTAAGTATTCATAAAGTTTCAATACCCTAGTGAATCTTTGTTTTTATGTGCAGCTGTTGGTGGGTGCATTTTCAATGGGATTTGATTCAGCCATTATACCCAGTTTGAATATCTTTCCAGAATATGGCAAATGCATACTAGAAGCAGTTGACAAGTCTAAGTTGGAAGAAGCAAGGAAACTTCAAAGAGAACTTTCAATTAAATATGATGTAATATCCAAATTTGGTAAGACCAATTTTTTCAGTATCCTCTCTCCCCTCTTATCTGAATTTCTTCCTAAAGGAGCTCTTGTACCTGCAATGAAAGCTGCAATGAATATAGCAACATCTATAAATGTTGGACTGGTGAGGCCCCCATTGAAAAATCTCTCAGATGAACAAATAGAAAACATGAAGAATTTGTTAGGACTCGAATAATCTATAAGGGACGAAATTGTGCAAATAGAACATTTATGTTTTTCTTTATGGTGTTACAGCTGAAAGAAGACGGCAAAAAATTGAATTAATAATACTTGAAACAATTACATATAAAAATTATCATCTAAAATAAAATCGTTTTTTGAATTGTATACAAGTAAAACTGAAATAAACATTTTGCAAACTTTTAACTAAGGGTAGTTAATGTTTGATGAAATATAATATTAATGACCTACTTTTCTGTGTAGTGTATGTGTGTATTTTCTAGCCTAGAATAAATCTATTAAATTACACACACAACCAAAACTGTGACAAATCTATTATCGATATATTATTGAGGTACCCAGACATCTGGAAAACCAGGAATAGTCATAGAAAATCGAAATATTTAAAGAGTCAGGAAATTACGTGCCTGATACTTGAAAGTCATGGAATTTTTACTTGTTTCAATGTTGATATTCATTACATCAATGTTCACATAAAAAAAATAAAATTTGTGGGTTACTGTGATTTTCCGGATTTTTTTCATCCGGCAATATTGTTTTTAGAGGTGAACATAGTAACCATAAAATTTCTTGAGGAGCGTCGATTTCATAAGGACTATCAAGTGTTCATGCGTTCTGGTTGGGCCTGCTAGAATTAACACGTTAACAGGTAAGACCTGAAGGTTTTTGTTCGTAGGGGGTAATAACTGTTTAATGGAAAACGATTTAACAAATTTCAACAAAAAAAGTTTCTTTTCTGCTTTACAAATTTTGTCTTCTTTCAAATAATCATGGAAGTTGATTGGCATGAAGATTTTTTTTGTATTGGTAAACCATACAGGATTCGTAATCCGTGTCCTTGCCTCCAATACTTATGCCGACGAAAAACATAATTATTGATTGGAAATCTCTAATCACAACTGAGTGCAAAATTCCCATGTTTCATATTAAATATACCATTTTAAATTTCCCACCAATTCCACCCACTACAGATTTCAAAAACTTAAATTCAAGAAATTTTGCACTCAATTTCATTTTCTCGAATTACTTCAATAATGAACAATTTTTTTTAATTCAGTGGGTACTGAAATGATCAGTGTCACTTTTCTCTACAACTAAAAAATGTATGACAAATATTCAGTACCAACCGAATATAAAAGAAAAAACCAATTACATGAGAATCATTAGAAATTTTTCCTTAAACATACAAAATATGCTCTGGAAGTGCATAAGAAAATGATTAGTTGTTTATCTGTAACTTGCATCTAGTGATAGATCGTAATTCAAATTTCCTTCCTAATCTCTATTATGGTCAATTTTGTACTGTAGATGGCGGAACAATCGGTTGATTTGAAAATAAAATGTACTAAATTGAATCACCGACATAGATTAACGTTAGGTCGATGAATTGAATGAAATTGTACAATAAATGTTTATCGCTTGAATGGTATTTGCTTCCCTGCTCTCTGCCTGCGACGCAGTAGACCATCTTGATCATGGTTCTTCTTCTTCTCTTTTTTATGGTCTTTCCTTCCCTTCGGCGCAGTAGCATTATCTAAAATCCTTAGACAATGGCAGTAGACCATGTTGATCATGGTTCTTAATCATTTTTTATGATCTTTGTCTTGATCAGGGCATTTTACTGTCTAATTTTTCTTCTGAAATTCAGTTTTGAGGTATTTGAATTGCTATTGAAAATTAAAAAAAAATCGTAAACATTTTCAAACTGTAGACAAACATTTTGAAAAGTAGCGAGAAATAAATTTATTGAAAACCCTTTTCCCTCGCCAGAACAAAAATTGTGTCTCACGACACGCGTTTTGCATCATCAGGAGATGGAAGTGTCTATTATTTTGCAACAAACACACTCTTAGCAATTCTTTGGATGTGTGTGTGTGAACAATCTGTCGTAACAATCACTTATTTGGACCAACTTATTATGAAGAAAAGTATCTGGCGTATGAAACCAATTAAATAAAAAAAAATTTGGTATCAGATAAATCAGGAGTTTATTTTACTTATTTTATAGGTCAAACTGAAAGAGCATCTAATTCGACTGTCCCTATGGACATGTCGAAGGATTTGTGGTATAATTTGGGATTTAGGTCCCAAACAAATCTATTGGATATATGTGATGATTAAACGAAGACGAAGCTCTCTGGCTTACAGAGACTGGCTTGTCTGGCTATCTGTGGTGCCATCCCTTCACACCGTCAGCGGTCATAGAGATCTTTCTAGAACTACCTCCTCTCCACACTTTTCTTGATACAAAGTCCAAATGGACTGCATATAGACTTGTGCACATCGCCAATTGCACAAAGCAATCTAATGCAGAGTACACTAGATTTCTGGCTGGAAGTCACAGTATTTTGGAAATGACCTCCGACATTATGCCTCCAACTGTCAACCGTAACTGCCTAATACAGTACTTTTTCCGAGTAGAAAGAATTTGATCCTCCGGGAAAAGGAAATATTAAAAGCAGATAGTTGTTGTTTCACAGATGAATCAAAAACACCTTCAGGCTCTGGTGCAGGTATTTTCAGTTGCAGACCCAGGCAGAGATATCAACCTGTCTAGGGACTTATGCGACTGTATTTCAAGCGGACATCTATGCTATTGAACTGTGTGCGGAGAGATTGGAAGAATCCAACCTCACACACAAGTCAATAAAAATTTTCTCAAATAGTCAAGCGACGTTGGAAGTTCTTGGCTCCTACCGAGCAACGTCTAAGTTGGTAGCAAATTGCCAAAACAGACTCTTCTCAATAGGTAGACTTGACAAATTGTCTCTGGTCTGGATTCCTTGCCACACATTGGTCTGAATTCCTGACATTGAAGGAAAAGAGGCTGCTGACTCCCTTGCAAAGGAGGGAGCTGCAAGTAGCTTCATCGGATCAAATCCAGTCCTTAGCATTGCTTTAGGTTTTGCCAAACAAACATTGAACACCTGGATGACAAGTAGATTTGAAGGCTTCTGACAAAATCTTCCAGGATTGGTTCACACCTAGGCGTTCATTCACCCTTCGAAGCTTGGAACCAAACAGATCTTGAACTACAGTAGGAATGAACTACCATGCCTAACAAGCCTCTTCTTATAGATCACTATCGTCTGAATCATCATATGAAGATACTTGAACTCTCAGAAGAAAGTGTGTGTCGCATCTGTTTGGAAAATGATGAAACAGCAGAACATATAGGTACTTTGTATGCCTGCTCCGCTGCGGACCGAATCAGGTTTTCAGAGTTTGGTAGAGCCACACTCCTACCATATGACCTGAAAGATCACTCACCATATAAACTAATCGGCTTCGTCAAAAAGTTGGGTTCATTTGGTCGAGTTTGAATAGGTGTGAGCCACAATAAACCCTTGCGGGTTGTGGTGGAAGGTCGAATAGGCCCACTCACTTTCAACCTTACCTAACCTAATTCTCGCACAAAAGAACATAGGAACAGTTTCAAGAATGGAAAACTTGAGTCAACGTATGCTACTCATCACTTTCTTACAGAAGGACATAAGACAAATCATGAATTCAAAACTTTTCCTTTTCAGAAGAAAAGTTTGAAACTTCACCTTCTTGAAAGTACCATACTTTCAAATAATAAGTTTTTATAACCTAACGAACGATCAAATTGATTTGAAATTTGAATGGCTTACCTTTGTTGAATTTGTTCTTAACGGATGACCATACTTGATCTTTCTGGAATAACCCTATGTAATAATGTAATTTTTTGACCAGACAACGACGAAAACTTCAGACAAGTTAATAGCAGACAACAAGTGATGTTACATATAGGGTACGGTATTGCTTCGAGCAAGTCAGACTGTATCCCCCGACGAAGGTTCTATTATATTATGTAATAGCCTGTTTAAGGAAGCAATGACCATAAGCAGAAGAAGAAGAAGAAGAAAATAAAGGATATACTATAAATAAATAGTAATTTGTCAATAGGTAAACCTACTCTAGCTGAAGAATTAAATTGCTTAAATTTGAAATGAACTCATAATAGGACAGGTGTTAAAAATATAATCACTTGTTTTACAGATTCAACATGAGTGTCCCACCACCCACTTGTGATTGGCAAACAACTAGAAAGTTGGTGAAAGAAAGGGGTCAATATTTACTCGAAACTGGTATGTGGAGTGACTGCCGTTTTATCGTAGGAACAGAACCGAATCAACAAGTATTAGAAGGCCACAAGCTATTTCTTGCAATGTCTAGTCCAGTGTTTGAGGCAATGTTTTTCGGAGGAATGGCAGAAAAAGATCCTATTGCTATACTAGATGTACAGCCAGATGCATTCAAAGCTTTACTTGAGTGAGTTAAATTCTTTGACACTCTGGGCTATGGTTATTCTATTTATATCTTAGGGGCGAACCCCGATAAATATTCGTAAGTAGATTCAGAGATGTCTAATTCACATTCCTGACCAATAACTTCCCATGTTTATGCCAATGACTTCAATTTTATCCTTGAGAAGTGAATTAAAACTATTTCTGTAATCATTTAATTCATTTTTAGAAGAAAGACCAATCTTTTTTTTAACCAGATCAAAACGGAAAAATTTTACTTTATGGGATACTCACGGATTGTCGCGATTTTTTCAAGGATGATACTACATGATGGTAGGCTATAGCCTGTCAAAGTATCAAAATGACAATTTTTTCAGCACTGACATTTTAAATATTGAAATAAAGAGAAAAATCGAAAAAAAATTATAGCCGCTTTCTGTGTATGGAATGCAATTACAGGGTTCACAGGGATTTCCGCGATTTTTTCTACATGATAAATTCATGGAAAATCATAAAGAAGAAAATAGAATTGAAACTTTCTATGTTTTTTATCACTTTTATTTGTAACTAACGTTACTACAATTTCGTCCTATAAGGACATTTTCAAACTTATACATTAAACTGGTAGAAAACATACGACATAGAAAGTTTCAATTCTCTTCTCTTCATACTAGGTACATGATGGTAGAAATTCAAGAAAAAATTTTTTTTTCGGACTCAATTAGTTTTGGAAATAATACCTGTCAAAGTATCTATGCTGTCATATTTTATTTTTTTCACAAATGATATTTGAAATATCGAAGTTCAGAGATAGAACAGCTAATCAAAAAAAGGCAACCGCAACAAATGCAATGACATAACATTCAGGGAGTCATAATAGCACGAAATGGTTAAGTGAAACTAATAATCCAAATGAATTGAAAAAGTGAAAGACTAGAGAGATCCCAAAGTTGTCATCCCTGCACCCTAAATGTGTGTCCATAGGGGGAATATTTTATCGAGATCCTTTGAGTTCTGTTAGAGAGAGGACTGCCGCGAGTAGGCATTCAAAGATCTTCCCAGTAGAGAGGCTATTGTTTTCTACCTCTTCATAACCTGATCTAACATAACCCGACCTAACTTTTTTATTGAGCCCCACCCCGTGGAACGTTCTCTGCGATTGATAATGATAATTTATTTTCCCAAAAAACATACAATGTTTATAGCAGGGAAAAAATAATTCATAAACTAATTATAACATAACTTAGTACTAACAGAGCACAAAAAGACATAAATCAGAACTGAAACTTGAAAAAAATATACCTACATACATACACACACATATACATATATACATACATATATGTTTGAATATGATTATCAACATGAACATAAATCAACTCATCAGATAATATATCTATACAAATAAAAATATTTTTTCAAATTATTCCGAAATTTTTGTTTATTTTTTTAAAGCATACCTATATAATAAATCGAAATTTGACCAATACTTGTTTTCATTTTCATTAATTTTAGATTGCCTTAATATCTTGTCAAATGGTTTTGTTGGTTACCATTGATTTTAAAAGTCAAATTTGAATATTTGCGCTTATTTTTGGTACATAATTTGAATTTATGTAAGGATGACAAATTAATAGTATTCTTGTATACAAGTTGACTGTAGGCTCCTTATAGTTCAACTTGAATATACACCTTATAATTTCATTCTGAAGTTTTTTAATTGGTTTCAATAAGGAATTTGTTGCCATTCCCCATACTGATATAAGATTGAATTTTGGTATATACCAATGAAAAAAAAATCAATTTAAGGTATTTTAGGGATACAATATTTCTTATTTTGAATAAAATTCCAATTATGGGAGCTATTTTTTTCTTATTGTTTCAATTTGTTATCTCCATCATACATTTTCATCTAGAATAAGACCAAGAAATTTAGCACTGGGAGAGTATATAATATATTCACTAACCTAACCTAACTTGGGAAAGAAAAAGTCATAAATAACTTTCTCAACCTAAACGAAATTAACATAACCAGGCATAGCCCATAGCCTGTGTGTGCATAATCAAGCCTAAATGAACATGAACCAACGCAACCAAACATAGTTTCAAAGCCTAAGCTAAATGTATCTTAGCGCAGTCTAACCTAACTTTACCTAACCTAGTCATTCTAAACCCTATCATTCATTCTCCCTATGGACACCATTATCTGAAATTTTATGTTGAAACTCGGCCACTCCTGGGTAAACTTGTCCCGCCAGCAATATTGTTCTTGCGAACCGAAGAAGACATAGAATCTGTAGCAGCTCGCCAAGATGATTCTATTGAATTGTGAGCCCCACTGTATGGATCAACCAAGTTGATTCTGTGATTAACTTTCAAGTGTTTGTAACTCTTTTGATTCAAACAGTCGTAAGCCTTCCATAAATCGGAAATAATTGTTGTTCTGGGTTCAATCGATTCATCGATAATAGGAATCAGAGTCTCGGAGCTTTGTGAGAAATAAGAAGTAAAACCGTTGAAATTATATAAAAAATATATAAATAAAATATACCTGAAATCAACTGGAACCATGAAGACTTGTCCAGTACCGCGTTTATATCCACCGAAAACCCATTGGCCTTCCACACGTCGTTCTCTGTGATATTTCCGCTTACCGAACTTTGATTCGTCGATCTCCACTATTTTGTCTTTACCCCCAAGTTTAATAGGGTGATTAACAAAAACGCAAAAGCTACCTCACCGTTAAATGAGGCCCAATCAACTGTCGTTTTCAGAGATATCTCCAATTCGTCCGCTGCTAACACAAGGGAAACATTTTTAACCCAAAAAATTAACAAAACAAAGTATTTCAAAAACGAATAAATGCGACCATTCAAAAAAAGTCCTTTTGCGGATTTCCTGTTCACAGTAGCATTCAACAAGTTAGCGTTTTGCATATGTCTGTAACATACTACTGCAAAGCCACACATAACATCAATCGTAAAGGAAGGAACAAATAATCGAATAAACAAGCCTACAAATTTGTTGCACTTGACTTACCTGTCGCAAGACTTATACAGACTCATATCTGTTCCGCTTTTAGAACATTTCACACTGTTTGGAATTGATGTTCATTCATGCAACTTCGCTAACAAGATGTATGTATCCTCACACAGTTCACGAATATACATCAAATTAATATTCAGCATTTTCAATGAAAAATCACATTAACTATTTGGTGAAATTTCAAATCTCAAATAGCAGTTATTGACAGATAAACAAGCTTAACTAGGCACCAACAATTCAACAAATGTGCAAATCAATATTTTTTGATATTCTTTTCATCCATGTCATTTATTGTTCTCATTTTAGGTATAAATGTCATAATCAAATGGAAGTTAAAAAATTCAGAAACGTTATAAGTTTCTGAGTGATTATTGAAAACCATAATTTTTGGTTGGTAGAGAATTTTTTAATCCCTATAGTGAAACTTTATGCAATTTACAAAAAGTGATTTGTGTTATATACCTAAGAACCTGACAAATTATAGAATTTCAATAGGATTTCAAGAAACTTGTCAATAATTGAATGAAAAGGGATATAAAAAAGTGTGATGATATGGAAAAAGATGTGTAAATAAAAAAATATATGAATTGCAATCACTTATTGTTGTAATAAAAGGTAAAATTCGACATCATACAAACTTTGACAGGCTATATCTCAAAAACTAATTGAGTCTGACTAAAAATAAAAAGTGTTCTGAATTCCTACCATCATGTAGTATATCATCCCAGAAAAAAATCACGAAAAACCGTGAATAGATAAAATAGATAGATAAAATTTATTTGTTCAGGATAAAAATACATTACCCCTGAGGGCATAGAACATGTCAGTATAAATATAAACATATATCACAATAATATTAGGTTAAAAGAGGAAGGAAAGATGTACAGTACATAAACTGCACAAAAATATATGCATACATATAAAAATATTAATACATGTAGATATAGGCTCTTACGAGTCCATGATTGTAGTAAAAGCAGTCAAATAGATCAAATAATTTTATACTCGTCAGTTGCATAGTACGCTTTTTCAAGTAAAAATGCTTTTAATTTTATTTTTAATGTTGTTTTATCGAATTCCCTCACTGTAAGAGGGAGTTTGTTGTAAATTGTTATTAGAGTATGTGGTACGTTTTTTTGAATAAATGAGAAGTTTGGAGTATTACAGGTCAAACCTGTCTTATTTCTTGTAAAGTAAATGTGTGTCTTTTTAGAGTTCTCAAAAAGTTTGGTGTTTTCCTTAACAAATAGTATAGTATCAAGAATGTACTTGCTGTATAAGGTTAGTATTTTATTTTTTATAAATAAGGGTTTACAACTATCAGTTTGTTTATGGTTAGATATAATTCTAAGGCATCGCTTTTGCATCTTAAATATCTTGGGGACATCTGTCGAAGCACCCCAGAATATTAAGAAACTAATTACAAAACAATATCTAGACATGAAGTTGATACCTATATCTTTATGCAAATATAAATAATTAAAAATGGTCATTGTAATATTCCTGCAGGTCATAATACGCTTTTGGAATGAGAAATACTTTTATCTCCTTCCTGTATTTTTTTAAATTTTCGATTGCTTTAAAATGTTCAGGCAAATGATTGTACATTTTTTTTGCTTTCGTACATTATTGAATTTTTAATTTGAGTCGACCTAGGTATTGGCAGGGAGATATGGCAGTTATTTCTGGTGTGCCTGGGATTTAATGGGTTATCATTCGATAAATGTCGGTTGTGAACCAAGCTTACAATCTCCATAATGAAAAGGCATGTAAGCGTAAGAATTTGATGCTTGATGAATAGTGGTCTACAGTGATCCCTTGCTGTAGAATGAACACAGAATTCCATAAGGTTTTCCTACAAAAACCCCAAAAGGGTAGTCCGTATCTAATATGGGATTCTATGAGTGAAAAATATGTGTTTCTGCCAATAGCTGTACCAAGCTCTTTTGTCACTACTCTAATAGCATAACAGCCCGATGCTAGTCTTTTTTTCAAGGACGTTATATGTTCCACAAACCCTAACTTTCTGTCAATGTGTATACCCAGGAATTTAGTGCTCGTTTTGTTTTCTACTTGATGTGTTCCTAAGACCAAGTTTTCGAATTCGAATTTGAAGGTAATTATATTAGTTTTTCCACATTGAAACAAAGATTATTTGAGTTACAAAAAGATTCGATTTCGCTGTCAATTGTTTTTCTGTAACTGTACTCAGAATACATCATAGGTATATATGATTACTGATTACTCAAATTTTCTTACTTACACACGGAAAAACCCTTATGAAGGGACCGTCCAAGAAGAGAACTAAGGAACTCTTCAACAAAGCAGGACTGGCTCAGAACAATTACAGTGCTACTCACTCATTGTCGATTGAGAGGACACCTGAACAAAATAGGTCTGTGCAACACAGACCGCAGCTGTAGACAATGCAACAAAGGAACAGAGACAGCTCGTGAGGCACTGAACCACAAGAGATAATCAATTATCTCCAGAAGAATATAATAAACATCCAGCAAGGGAACTGTACAAACTATTACAGGGTAAAATATTTTTAGAACGGGATGAGGCTGCAGTGTTTTTCAGAGACAAGTCAGACGGCTCCCAAATAATATAAAAAATACCGGGTATTTTCTGAACCAAAAAAAAAATTTAATCATAATATTATCATCTTACGATATTCATAAATATTTTTCGTATCCTAAAATCCTGTATCGTATTGCTAGCTAAGAGACCAAGATACCTAGCATGGCATCCAGTATCATTGCAAACCGTGCTTATGGCGTAAACCTACAGGATTTCGTAGAATACTCTCAAGATGCAATCGAATGGTTGTGCAATTTGGAAATCAATGTATAGTTTGTCAGAGGATCTATTATATGTGTTATGTCTTTTACAGAGTTACATATACTTGGTGTTGTCACATTTGAATCTAAACTGAGTTTCTCCGTACACTCTGACACAATAAGATACTTAGCCAAACAGATGCTAGGTCTCATCTATCGTAACTGTAAGAACTTTCATAGCAAAAACAGTTTTTTAACTCTTTTCAATGCATACGCCAAATCTCGGCTGGAGTATGCCTCCCCTATATGGTCACCCATATACAATGTCCACATAAACAAAATCGAGTCCATACAAAGAGACTTCATGAAATATATTACTTACAAGCTAGAAGGAGTTTACCCTGAACAAGGCATCGACAACAGAATACTAATAAATAAATTTAATCTATTATCCCTTCAAAACCGAAGAACATACTACTCTATAATTTTCATTTATAAATTAGTGAATAATCTGATTGACTGTCCCGAACTACTCTCCCACTTCAACTTTCATGTTCCACGAATTAATTCTAGAAATGAATTGACTTTTTATCTACCAAATTCTAGAACAAACATATTACTCAAGTCATCAGTTGTTGCAATGAGCAGACTCCAGAATCGACTCTGTGAAAATCTCGACATTTATTATGAACCTATTGGTCAAGTTAAGAACTATGTTAAAACAATTTTACACTCTAGTCAAAATAAATGAGCCTAACTTGAAAGTTACTCTACCATGTGAGCTTATTACTACTACTGTAATACAGCCAAATTATGTTTTTTGTAATACACCTGAACTATGTTTTTACTTATTAGCTCTACGTCTGACTTATGTTTTTTTTTTCAGTTACTCCCCTAGCTTGCTGCACACAAGTTTTCACCTAATTTTTTTCTTAACTCTCCTAAATGTTTCCTTTATTTTATTTTTCTTGTTTACTTCTGGTGTTTTTTGTTGATAAATTAGTATTGTATTCATATATAAAACTGTAACATGCTTGCTAATGATATTATTATGTCTTGTTATTGGGATGTTTTTTTATTTATTTTTTTTTCATTTTTACTTACAGTTTATTTTTATCGTATTATAAAGAATCCATACACTTGATAAATAAATAAAATAAATCCATTAATATATTTATATATTAAAGATAATATTTGTTATAGATACATCTACACTGACAAAATAAACTTGACCTCTTTTGATCAGGCCTGTGAATTGTGTTATGGGGCAAAGAAATACATGCTTCCTCATCTGGTAGAAGAATGTACTAAATATTTGTGGTCAGATTTGTATCCCAAGAATGCTTGCAGGGCATATGAGTTCGCAAAATTATTTGAGGAACCGATGTTGATGGATAAGTGTATAAGAGTAAGAATCAATTTTGCAAAATGTTATTTTTTTTCAATTAATTCTCCTCTATCATTTGAGAATGCTAAAAATGTTCCTGCAGATATACCATATACTATTTTTTTTTTGTTAGATCATCTGCAACCAAACTCAGGAAGTTCTCCAGGAAAGCAGTTTTGATGACGTAGAGCTGACCACAGTTTTGACAGTTTTTGATCAGGAGGAGTTGAATATCAATTCTGAGTTGGAATTGTTCTCAGCTATCACACGATATGCCTCAAAGCATATTCAAAGTTCAGGTGCGAAAGTACCTAGACTAGATGGTATAGGTAATTGTGTTGATTTTTATTAACTTATTCATTTTTTGACTCAAGAGTTTCTGGAAGAGATCAATTTTAAAATTAAATTTTTCACAAATCTAACAAATCCAAACATTTTTAAGATTCAGCAAAAATACAGCAGTATTGATTTTTCAAATGTAAACCTTTCACATTATGAAAAAAAAACTTGACAAACAAAGTCAGTTTAAAAAACTTTCTGTACAGGATATAGTAACAAATATTCCCACAATATATCAGGCAATCAATTTTATGTTTCCTAATTTATTTTACAGTGGTCTTTCTTTGATGTAGCGGTTTTTCAATTTTTTTATAATGACTTTCCACAGTCTCTTTATACAGTACTGATAACCCACAATTTTTCTAGAGAGAATATGAGAACTGAACAAATTTTAAATTAAATGTAATAGGCATTAAAGAAAAAAACTTGTAATTGAAATTAGTAATATTTAATTTACAATCTTAATCTTTTGAAATATTTCAGACACATAAAATGAATTGTGTATTATTTTTCATAAAACTTGCAACCTTAATAGTCTGGAACATCTAAGAAATATTGGAGATTTGTCTTTCTTTTATAGATACTTTCACGGGAGGTGTTCATGTGACTTGCTCATTTGATTCCACCAAGAGTGGTACTTATCAGAAATACGCGACGAACTGGCTGCTCATCGTTTTGAGGTTCAGCTCAGTACACCTCGAACTTCATTGTTTAATAACTCTCTCATTTGAAGAACTACGTTTATGTTGAATAAATTTCCTGAGAACGTTTTTCATTTAGAGGAAACGTTTTAATACATATGGATTATAACTCTTCGTGACAGGCTAGTAGTCCTAATTTTCATTAAGATTTTTGAAGATTCGGAGGGTTAATAATACAAAAGATTTGTTTTAATTTCATTATAATTAGTTACTTGAGAATTATGCTGCTTTTTTCCACTTTGGGTAAACTACACTTTTGAAACAATGAATAAAGCTGTTTTAGACTAGATTAGCAGGTTTTACATATACTTTGTTTTTGTTGTATTCAGTTTTTGCTTTGGTATTGCCCTAATACCTAATATGTATGTATATCAACTCACCTGTAACAAAAAAAATTAGTCTCATAAAAAAATGAAATGGCCTGTTGAGAATGCTCAACAATATTTTGTTACTTACTTTTTTCTTAACTATTTCTGTGAGAGATATTTGGAATACTTCTATCTTGATTACTAAAAGGCTTTTTTCAATATTTCAATGAGACTTTGTCTTTTGATTATATTTTACAGACCCTTTTTGATTATGAAACACTAAGATTTTTTAAGAATTGCCTGATGAACAATCTAATAAATGTAGATTTTAATACCAGTATTCAAAAAAGGAGAAGATATTTCAAATAATTTTGAACCTATATCAATTCTTCCAATGATAGTAAAGATTTTTGAAACAGTAAACACAATGAGAATAGTCCAGTTTATATTATGAAAATAATGATCTCATTCAAAACAAGTAATTGATATGGTAAATATCAGAATTCACATTTGTTGATTAACTTTAGAAATGTATCTATTTAACCAAACATAGAATATTTTATAAACTGAAAGGAGACTTCCATATATCATTTTTCTTCAGCTTTGCTAATAATTTTGTTGAAGGTAATATTAACTTATGGTTATTTATATTTTGTTTGTTTTGTATTAATATTTTTGAATTTGTTGTTTCATCTTAGTAATTCCGGATTTCACATTGCATGTACTTATATTGCATGTATTATATTACTATTTATTTCAGTTGCCACCCAAGGCCATAGTCCGTAGGGGTTACAGGAGTCAGCACCCCCTTCCTAAAACTTCAATGAAAAAAATTATGAAACTTGCTTTATTATTTTTTGAAAAATTTTCAGAAAAGGTAAAATCAACATAGCCAGAGAAATAAGCTATCACCGTCAAGGCTGTTAAGATTGAATGGCCCTGAACCAGAGATACTTCAGGGCCTTGTTGAGGATAAGGTGTGTGGACGAAAACTTGTTGAAACATGGCCGAGAAACGCTACATATTTTAACCTCAAAGTTTAAAATTAACTAATTATAACATATGAAATAATCCAAAAAATATTGTTTCACAAATGAATGAAGCAAAAGCAGAAGTTTCGGGAGGTGAACAATTTTATAATTGTTTCAGATATATGTAAAGTTGTTTTTCCTAGTGTACATCTGTTGTGTATTCTTTAAAGGCCGACATTTCTTTTTTAACTTCAAAAGACTGAAGACTGATTCGGAAAACTTAACCAGAGGAGGCAAACTAAATGGTTTGGATTTAATGGGTGTCAATAGGCAAATTGATGTTTCAGGGGAAGAAGTGATTCACCAGTTCGCTACAAAAATACTAGAAATGTGAATCTTTCGATTTGAGATATTTTCATTACTGTGACTTATTAAGATGTTTGACAAAGCCTCGGTAGATAATAACATTATCCTGAGGTGGATTAAAGGGCACGAAAGGAGTAAAGGTAATCGCATTGCCGACTCTTTAGCCAAGGAAGCGGCTGGACTAAGAATTTTAGGACCAAGTGGCACCCACGGCCTGATGACTTCGACAATTGCGGAACTAGTCAAATGTTACAATAGGAGGACAACTCCTTGGGAGGATGTACAATGGGTCACATGTGGCCTAAGTGCGTGGGCTTACACTCACCCTCCCTACTCTACAGATACAGATAAGATGTTTGTGTTGAGACTTGACTTTTCATATATTTTCCTTTATGTTGATTGCCCTTTGAAATTTTATCAAATGAATAATTGATGTACCATCAGCCCCTTCTCACTCTCATTTAAAATGTCTTCAACGATCTACTGAATTAATCACATCATGACCTAGTGTTTCTCAAACGTCCTCCACTTTCATACTGTTTTTGCAATCAATATATGTCCTATATGAGACAGAAGTTATTTTTGTCAATATTCAACTTTTGCTTTCAGTTTTAAGGATCCTGGGTTTAATGTTAGATACTTTAACAAGTTTATTATGACAATGTATTCCTTATCCAAGTGACACAGAATAACATGAAATGATAAACAACTATATGTAAGTTGGATTCAAAAGATTTTAGCATCAAAATTGCCCTAAATAGAAACGGAAATTGTAACAATTTCTAGTGCTCATTGAGAGTGGCTGAAGAGAGTATAAAATTATCAGATGACTTCAAATTCATTGTTTTTTTTAGCCAATCCCATCAGTGAAGCCAACAGCAGTCATCCAACTGTACGTGATGCAATTATGAAGATACGTTTTCTCACCCTCAGCCCACAGCAATTTGCTGAAGGTCCCGGAAAATCCACCCTCCTCTCAGAAACTGAAAAATTTGCCATTCTTATGAATATCTGTACTCCCAGTGCTGCTGTTATGATGCCTGAAGGATTTTCCACATCGACAACTCCTAGGAAAAAAAGATTGGCTACCTCAGAAGCATTCGTGATGGTGGGTTTGGATTTGTGTTTACTGAACCTGAAATTAAAAAAAACACATCCTTATAACTTGAAAACATTAGCATTTATACTTCATATAACTATTCCACTAGTTTACTTAGCTCTTTTGCCTTTCCTGTAATAAAACTGATCTGAGAATGCTCCAATCTTTGATAAGCATGTTTTCTGTTGATTTTCAGTGCAGCCCTTGCTCACATGCTCTATTCACAGTAATAACCAATTCAGTCAAATTGAATGTTTATCGTTTTGACTACAAAAAAATAAGTCAAGGAAAATGTTTCCTTCCAAATTAATAAATGCACAACAAAAATATTTTTTATTCCAAACAAACTGTTGAAAGTTAATTGAATACATAAAGTAAGGTGTAATGGCATGAGAGTTGGCCAATGACATATGCAGAAACTTTTAACAGAAATCATAAAAGGTGGATAAAAAAATCTGTTTTGGAAGTTTGATGATTTGTAGCCCACAATACTCGACCTGTCACGCAAAAGATTTTTTTTTAATGAACATTCCAGGGTGGAGCTTTGGCAATGGATACGTCTCGAACTTCAATGATAAAGTTTAGTTCAGCTGCTTCAGATTCTACTTCTGACTGTTTTAAGAAGATGTACTGCAGTCGTCAACTGCTAAGAATCACAGAGTGTATGAATACTAGCGTTTTGGATTGCGCTGTCACATTCACTTGTGACAAGAATGTTTGTGTTTATGGTATTCAGGTTAGTTATTGAATTATGATTTTTGCTATTGTTTCATTCATATGTATATCTTGTGAAAATATAAATATGGAGAATTTACTAATGTGAGAATAAAATGTAAAATGATTCAAAAATGGACAGAAAAAACATAAAATAACGAAAGTTTTCAAAATTTTTCAAATGGGAAAATTCTGAATATTACTAGATCTTTTATTCTCTTCATCATATTTTAGAAGGTATGTGTAAATTTTGCTAAGATTTTCATCATCAGTTTTTTATTCAATGAGAGTTCCTCGTTATTGATATTTTCTTTTAGTGGTATTAGTTTTTTTATCTGAAATATGTGGGCTTTCAAAAGTCATTCTATGATCCTCTGAATTAACATGTTCAGTTAACGCACACGAATTAACATTCTGATTCCAGTCGCTCTTATGTGAAGTAATATTACCAGTTTGAGGTCTTCATGTTTATCGTATATGTGTTTTAGAACAATCCAAGAAATTCTGTATACCGAATTGGATTTTTGTTTGTTTGAAATTAGAACTTTGAGTTTACTGTATAATTTAGATATAGCTCGCGAGCTCGTTTCGCGGTATTTTGAATCACACTGGCCAATTGTTGAAGCGTTATATTCTGAATGGCTTGTTTTACTCCTACTTCCAGGTCCTCGCGGGTTGTTGGGGAAGTTTCGTAGACAATATTTTTCAGGTGCCCCCAAATGAAAAAGTCCAACGGGGTTAAGTCGGGTGATCTAGCAGGCCACCTAATAAGACCATGTGTTCCAATCCATTGCTCCCCAAATCTATCACGGGGGTACTCCGTCACTATCCTACTATTATGGGGAGGTGCTCCATCCTACTGAAAAAACAGTCCATTTGCCAGATTAAGCGGTAAATCTTCTAAATATCCTTTAATTTCATTTCTGAGAATACCTAGATATCTATCACCACTCAAAGGACCATCAAATATTATGGGGCCAATTATCCTAACCCCTACTATTCCCAGCCAGACATTGAATCCAAAACGTTCTTGGAAATTTCCCTGTCGAAACAAATTCTGAGTTTCTTGTGCCCAATATCGGGTATTCTGTCTATTGAAGAAACCAAGATTGGTGAATCTTGACCCATCTGAGAATACAATTGTTTTCAAAAACTCATTATTGGGCTGCACATTATTGTGTAGAACCTATCTGCAATATTCCACTCTTCTTACGGTATCGGCGTCGTACAGATGTTGGTGTCAGTTTATAGAAATGTCAAAAGTTGTTTGTAATTCATAGCCACCCCATTAATTTACCTTTATTAAATTGCGAAAATACTTAATTTTCATGGCTCTCTAGTTCGAAAAATAAACACTTAAAAATATCAAGTATGGGGTATCATTGGATTCCGAAAATTGTGATGATAATAATAGTAATAATAACGAATCATTTTCCCAAAAACCTACATGCCTATAGTAGGGAAAAAAGCAATAATTCAAAACATAACTAAATACGAACGAGGCAACAAAAAAAAGATATTGCATATTTAGTACATATATAAATAAAATTTCACAATAGATGAAAACAAAATAATACTGGTGACATCACATGTCAAAGAAATGACGTCAAAATTTGTGAAATACAACTTTAAATATAAAAGTCTGTTCTATCAATCAATGGATAAAACAATATTGCGAGGAATCCCAGTCACCTAGGATTGTTTTTTATTTTGACTTAAATATATAAAGGATAGAGTGGGTAGTTGGTTGTAAGCATTCAGGTCTTTGAAGTGAAACTGAGTTTTGGGATGCTTTTCTTGTTACCGTTGGTTTAGAAAAATCATGTATAAAAACAATAAAGGGCCTAATATCCACCCCTCAGCTCACCTCCTCCAATGTTTTTAAACAGTAGTATTTGGAAAATACTTGCTGGAAGGCAAATACGTTCTCGGCTGTCGGCTATAATTCAATATCTATCGTGGTACTAGTCGGACACTTCTCCGGCATTTGCAGAGTCGTACTGTGTAGGACTGTTAGAAGAGGCGAATATTTCGAGTTTTATTTTTAAGTATTCATTTTCTTAATGCTTTTTTCGTGGTATAATAATATACCATCTTCTAATGATACTAATTTACAAACAAAAAATTATATTATGTTTGTCTGGAAACTCGATTCACTAACTTATTTCCACTTTAAAACTCAAAATTTCTACTTTCGCATGTTACGTTTAAAAACTGCTACTGTTTTATAAGAATGAAGTATCAATAAAAACTCATTCGAATAGTTAAGAGAAATCTCGGAAACTGCAAAAAAAATAGAGAACAAAATCTTACACATGATTTTTGTAATTTAATACTATAAAATTATAATTCTGAAATTAATTTGCACTTCATGGCATGTTTTTCTCTTTTATAGCCATTAATTGCATCTATAGAGGTGAATTAAGTATGGTTCGTTATATTCAAAAGTCCTTGGTGAATTTTCAATAAATGATTTGCTTATTTAATTAGTAAGGAATGTAAGTTATTGAGGTATCTAAGCTGCTGTCTCTAACCGCTATTATTTCCGTTGGGTTAGTTTGAAGTTATTGAGAAAGGGGTATATTTTTAGGAGAGATACAATTTTGGGAAAGAAAGGTTTAGCTTTCTACTTCTCCAACTTTATACAAAAAAATGGGAATCTTCTGAAGAAGCAATTAAGGAGGAAGCAATTAATTTCAAAATGAATTCTTCACAAAGATTATGCGAGATTCCTATGGCTGGGATTAAGTCATGTCATTGATGACATATTACACTACACTTTGATCTTAGCCAAGGGCAGAGAAGCGATCATTGATGACATGAGTAGATCTTATTCATCGTGACAATAAGTCGTAATTTTAGGAATGAATTGAGTGCTTCATTTTGTAATGTTAACCAGATTGGTGCTGAAGAGGCAATAAGGCAAGTATTTCATTTCAGATGTCCACTACGTAGAATGACAGTGTGTCATGTATGTGAAATTTTTAATTTTACCTCTTTCATATACTATATGGTGTAGCAATTCTGTGAATGATATCTGATTCAATTCGTTGTTTTATTTTACTGTGTCAATTCCATAACGAATGTTTGGAGTACAAACTGAATAGGAAATTTTGTTTTTTTTTATAATTCAGTGTTCATATAAAAATATTTGTTCGGGAACTATTTTTCTTTCGTGTAATTTAATGTTTATATGAAAGTAGTTGTTTCGTGACGACTTTTTCTTCCAGCTTGTGCCTGAAAGTTACTTCTTTACCTGATCTACATATCTTTGCAGAAAGTTTATTTTGAAGTAAATTAATTGCTTCCTTTCTTTCTTTGGAAGTTTCCCACTTTTTGTATAGAGATATCGTGTCATATGTCATTGTCAATTTGTAGGTTAGGTTAGGATTGAGAGCCGTTGCCGTATGGTTAAAACATGAGCTATTCTTGAAAATTATTGAATTTTTATACCTTTAACATTTTAAAGAAACATGACTGAAAATAAGGGCGTGCAACAAATCCCCCGAGTCTCAGAAAACATTAGTTTTCCGGATGAGGAAGAAAAAATTTTGGCCTACTGGAAAAAGATTAAAGCATTTGAAACGTGTTTGAAGCAATCAAAAGGAAAACCCAGGTGAGAAGACACAAACTGTTTATTGATACAAAACTAATTGCGTTTTCAGATTTTCCTTTTATGATGGTCCACCATTTGCTACTGGTCTACCTCATTATGGGCATATCCTTGCTGGAACTATCAAGGATGTTGTTACTCGATATGCCCATCAACAAGGGTACCATGTAGAAAGAAGGTTTGGATGGGACTGTCATGGTCTCCCTGTGGAATATGAGATTGATAAAGCACTTGGAATTAAGGGACCTGCTGATGTAATGAAGATGGGAATTGATAAATATAATGCAGAATGTAGGAAAATTGTTACTAGGTACAGTCACGAGTGGGAAATTATAATTGGGAGAATTGGAAGATGGATTGGTAATAAACAATTGGACACAGAAGAATTCATGAAAATTAAATAACCTGTTTTTCTTCTGCAGATTTTAAAAATGACTACAAAACTTTATACCCATGGTTTATGGAATCTGTTTGGTGGATTTTCAAGCAACTTTATGTGAAAGGTTTGGTGTATCAAGGCAACAAGGTCATGCCTTATTCCACTGCATGTAGTACACCTCTTTCAAATTTTGAGTCGGGACAAAATTACAAAGATGTAGTTGACCCTGCTGTAACAGTCAGCCTTCCATTGGTCGGAGACAAGGAAGGTAAACCTGATTATTGCATTCAGATTCATTGGATTTTTCAATTTTTTTTAAATAGATTTGCAAATTATGGAAAGAAAAAAGAAAAAATAATTCAAATATTCAAAATACTAAAAATGAGTTGGTTATAAAACAAAAAAAATGTGTGTGAAATAATAAACAATGAGAATGGATTAAAATTGTGAATAGTATAAATAAACATTGTCAACCACTTACAAACATTGAACAACCAGTATTGACTTTAATGATGGATAGATAGATATTTGTTTATTTCTACAGTGTAATGTAAATCTTGTATAAAAGGTAAAAGAAATACTTTGTCTATGAAATACTTCAATAAACAAAATTACAAAGAGTAATAAGATACAAAATTTGAATAAAACACTTCACCTGCACATATAAGTATAACGTTAATAAAGTAAAATTCAAAATAGACTGTTAAAATATTCATCTGTAGTATATGGCTCTAGATTGCACAAACATTCTTTCACAGACTTCAGAAAACTGCTGGCCATCCCGTTGTCTCTTCAAACCTGTGGGAGAGAGTTAAAAAATTTAATCACACTGTTAATACTACTTCTTTCATACAGAGATTTCTTTTGTATTGGATATAAAGAAATCATTTCTAAATCTGGTTCCATACTTATGTGTTTTATGAAGCCTTTCAAAGTAGCGTGGTTGTTTTAATCAAAATTTTAATGACTCAAAAATGTATCTTGCTTGTACTGTTAATAAACTGTTTATTTTAATAATCCATAGCTTTTTTTTTTTTCAACTTTTTCATCAACTGAACATAAATCTGGAAATAATATTATTCAAATATTTATTGAAAATGTAATGAAATTGTACAATTAAACCCTGGTTAATCGCACTCGGGTCATGGGAAAAGATTCTGTGAATGGTGTTCATAAGAATAAATTAGCGAATGTCTTGTACTTGAGATTATTCAAAATACAAGTTTTGTCCGAATCTTCGAAAATAAAACTGCAAAATCTTTTTAACTTTGCATGTTTTGTTTTTCCCAAGAATGACCGATTTATTAATTCATGAGCTCATACATGATTTTTTTTACAAATAATACAATAAATTGTTTTAACAAGTATATATTGTTCAGTAATAAAACACAACACAAAGTATTACCTTCAGAAATCATTCATAATTCATTACCCTCATCATTTTAATAGATTTTTTTTAGTTTTCAATAGGTTAACTAAAAAAATTGTTATTTGAAATAGCTCCTCTCCTACTATTTCAGTTAACCATGGCTTTAATGTACTTTCTTCTTACCAACTTATTCTTAATAAAAAATATGTTGGTCAAACCAAACGGACTATATTAACTTGCTACAAGGAACATGTTTCGCATGTTTGGTTTTATAGACCGGAGAAATCTAGTGTCGCTCAACATAGAATACCATAGAATAAGTGAGAAATGTTTAAAAAAAAACTTGGAAATCGAAAAATGCGGAATCAGTTCAAACAGCTCTTTGTTTGGTCTTATAAGTAATAATTCTAAATAAAAAACAGATAAATATTAGAGATAAATAATCACTAACACAGAGGAAACTCATAACAAATTAGAGGTATTAAAAAATAGGCGGTTTAGCATAGGATCAATTACAGGAAGTAGTTAGGTAATACTAACAGGTAGTAGTTGAGCCACTAGCATATGAATACATTAACATAGTAGTAAAATTTAATCATAACGATCTTATGACGACATAAAAACTGGGTTCAACTTCGATAGAGAGAAAATTGAAAGGAGATACATGTTTTCATTTTTTTTTAATGTTTCATAATTTCAATTTTTTTTTCAATGTGGTTATATAAATAAAACAATGGGTAATTATATCAGCTAAATTACCGAGAATGACCTACTAACAAGCAAGTGTCTACAATTTCTTCTAATCAAATCCTTCAGTAGTTATAAGCGAGTGTATAATATATTTCAAGATATATTCCTAAAATTCCACTATAATATTTAGTAAAATACTAAAAACGGAAAAGAGTTTAAAACACTATAATGAACAAATATTGATTAGTTATATTTGAAAAGGATAGTTTCTAGAACTGCCAAAAATTTAACGGAATAACTGTTTACTTGGAGACAAGAAAGCCTACAAAATTTATAGAATTTATTAAGATAAAGGCTATAACAGTAAGTTCAATGTGGTTCAAGTTACAGCTTTTAACAGGGCTGAGTATAACATGAATTCATTTTTGAGATATCAATACAAATTTGATTCAAGAAGTAACTTCATCAGTAAGTGCTTATTTTTTTTTTTTAATGCAGGTGCTTCTTTATTGGTATGGACAACCACACCTTGGACTTTGCCAAGCAATTTAGCAGCATGTGTCAATGGAGATCTCATTTATGCTCGATTCCAACACATTGTTACAAATAAAATTTTCATAATGATGGAATGTCGCATAGAAACCATTTTTCAACCTGACGATTACAAAATATTAGAAACATTTCCTGGTCACAAGCTTAAGGGCCTTCGATATGAACCTCCTTTTAATTTCTATGAAAATTTCAAGTCAAATGCTTTTCAAGTACTAGTAGATGATTATGTAACAGCAGAATCAGGTACAGGGATTGTACATCAAGCCCCTTACTTTGGCGAAGATGATTATAGAGTATGTTTGGCCGCGGGTATCATTACAAAGGATCAGGAACCAATTTGTCCGGTGGATGATTCCGGGTGTTTCATGAATCCCGTTGTGGACTTTCAGGGACAGTATGTGAAAGATGCTGATAAAAACATTATAGCTAAGCTGAAAGAAAAGGATAAACTAGTGTTTCAGTCCCAGGTAATTATTGTTCTATGTGTTGAAATCCACTCAGTAGGCTAATATTTCATCATTAGTGAAAATTGTCAAATTTTGTATTAGAAGAAAATTTTGGATGTTATAAAAATGTAGAAACAGTTATATTAACCTGAAAATTACCCTATCATGTGGGACGGTAGCCAGTTGGGTTGGCGTGGGTGGTTTGCTCCACTTACTGAATCAATTGCTATGTGAACCTGTGGTTCAAGTCGCGAGGCTGAACGATCGATTTTCACTTCATATCGGCTAACCCGTGCTAGGAACCGTTTGTTATAAGGTAAGACCTCGTTAATCTTCAGCTCGCACAAGTTTCGACTTCCGAGAGTTGCCGTTTTTAGAGGGGCCACAACTGGTTAACAAAAAAACAGGCTTCACTAGTAATAATTAAAAAATTCCATTGTAAGTTGCACTTGATAAATAACGTCTACTGTTACAAAATAAATCAACCTCTACAGATATTGATGATCTTTGAGAACAAAATATTGACATCTAGGAAAGACACAGGCTGAGTGTATTCTGACTTTTGAAAGGTATTCAATGGAGAAGAATAAAAAATGTATTTTTTAGCTGTGTGATTGTATAGTGACTCAAAACTTTTTTGAGTGATTGAATTCAACAAGTTAGAATTGAAATGGAGCAACTATGTCAGGCATAATTCAAATGTCCTTAGGATTCAGGAGTACCATATTGATTGGAGCTTCCAAACAACTTGGCTTAGATAGATTGCCAATATACTTTATTGAAAACAATTGGAATATTACAAAATGTTTTTTGTACTGCACTGAGTTTTTACCACAGAAAGTTGAAGTTTGCTACTTCTTAAGAATGACTTTGATCTCATATATTACATCTCTGAAGACGAATGGAGGGACTGGAACCTCTGGCTAAAATGAATCCAACACAAACTCTGTTCCCACAGATCAGAACTTTTTGACGCAATTTTAACATCCCTGTTGGCATCATCAGATGAACTATATTATAAGTTTCTAATTCTAACTTTGTTTTATGACACCAGTGATTTCTTAATTAGAAAATAGAGAAAAATTTCTTGTAAATGTTCGTGCTGATTTTAACAGAGTTTGCATAAAATAGTAAACAATGGTCTATTGGAATGGGATCTTTGTCTCTGTTTATGATGAAATACGCATCGAGAAGATTATGCAGTTCTGATATGTGGTAGCACTATTTGCTTAAGGGTGTATGGAGGATTTGTGAATTCTTGATGAATAAATTTACTCATTATTTGGTATGTTTTATCAAACTGCTTTATTTTCATAGTTCGTTCTGGAACCTCTGGCATAAACTGAATCTATTGAAAACACTTTCCCAACACCAGAACAAAAATGACCCTCTCTCGAGGTGCGTTTCGCTAACCAAGTTAGCGTCCTCGACAGATCATTGTGACTCGGGAGATCATAATGATCTCCTAACTTAGGAGATCACAATGATCTCCTGAGTCATAATGATCTATTGAGTACGCTAACTTGGTTAGCAAAACGCGCATCGAGAGACCGTACTTTTTGTTCTGGTGTTGGGAAAGTGTTTTCAATAGAAACTGCTTTCTTTTATGAAAAATGAGAAATAAAACTTCCTATGTTTTTAAGCCACTTGTAACTAACGTTACTGCAATTTCATCCTCTGAATACATTTTCAAACAAATACAATAAACTGAAATAATTATATCTATCATATAGCAATCATATATCTATATATCACCGTAGGTAATAACAGACGGTCCTTAACTTAACTGAGTACCTGATATAAGTTAAGGACCATCTGTTATTACCTACAGTTGTGTAGACTGTTATCATTGTTGATTATTTCAGTTTATTGTATTAATTTGAAAATGTCCTTATAGGACAAAAGTGGAGTAACGTTAGTTACAAATACAAGTGGTAATAAAAACATAGGAAGTCTTATTTCTTATTTTTCATGATGATCTCCTATCATTTAGTAATGGCTACATATATCAATTTATTGTTTTATTTTTAGGTAAAACACAGTTATCCGTACTGTTGGAGATCTGACACTCCTTTAATCTATCGTGCTGTACCATCTTGGTTTATCAGAGTGGAACACATGCAAGAGGCCCTGCAACAATCGGCTAGGACAACTTACTGGGTTCCTGATTTTGTAAAAGATAAGAGATTTGGGAATTGGCTTCGAGAAGCTAGAGATTGGGCCATAAGCAGAAATCGTTATTGGGGCACTCCAATACCGATTTGGATGTCCCCAAATGGAGATGAAGTTATTTGTATTGGCAGCATATCTGAATTGGAAGAATTCAGCGGAAAGAAAGTGATAGATTTGCACAGGGAGAGTATCGATGATATTGAAATTCCTAGTAGAATTCCAGGTATTTAATAACAAGAAGTATATGTTCGAACTTTGAAATATTTATAATTTGAGAAAAGAAGTGAAGAATCCCTCATCTCAGTGCTAATATGATGGCTTGAGAAAGAGGGTGAGAGTTATAAGAGAATTAAGAATGTGTGTAGAACAAATTCAATGGGAGTGAGAAAGTTAAGGAACAATCTTCCATATCCAAATGTAAACTTTTTCAAGGTTATTATATTATGCTTGTTTTAAAAAGGATTCTTTAACAATTTCCCTTACTTTGGAATAAAATTTATTCGAGGTTCAATTCTAAGGTTATTACTTAAAATTTGTGTATATCCATAAGATTCGAAATTTTGATTAGCAAATGACAAACAAAATTCAATTAGACTATTCTCAGGTTGTAGGCTGAGTAATCTCAAATTATTATAAACAGAAGTGAAATTCTATGCATTTTGTGTTATTATTTTTCAGGAAAGGAAAAGATAATATATTATACTTGATACTGGGATCAAACCCGAAACTGGTCGTAAAATTAAAATTTTACAGTGGTATTTAGACAAAAGTGTTTTTATTCATTTCATTGGAGTGATCATGAATTACTATAAAGTAAACAAATCATCAATCACACATTTAATATTAACTCAAACAGATTCAAAATTTAAATTTTATTGTTCCTGAGAAAAAAGTCGAAATTATTAAGTGCAAAAAATCTTTATAACCTGTCGAAAATATCAATATGATAGCACTGGTGAGCACCTATTTATATTTCTTTCAAGTCATTACTGAATGATTCACGATACCAAATGATAACAAAATAATGTTACAGGGCGCCATTCAGTTGTTCGAGGGAAAGATATTTTCAGATTTGGAATATAGGTATAGTTCATTGAAGCTAATATTTTTAATGATGAAACATTTTAAAACATATTCCGGTTCAACCCTGCATATTTTTGTAGATCCTCTCATAAGATATAAAATTCTTTTTCCTGCAATATAGCAAACGCATTTTTATTGAAATTTTGTGACTATCAACTTTGATGACACTCTATTGTACCTTTTATTTCAATCTTCTAATATATTTAAAGCTGTCCGTTCCATCAATACAGATCTTGACAAAATTTTTCACAAGATAATTTTTCCAAAATCAATTCAAACAAATCATCAGTACTTATAGTTTGCAATGTTAATATTCATCATCATATAACTGTTAACCATTCCCTACAAATAGATGGAATGTCTATTCCTATCAGAACACGTTGCAAAGATTGTCTCATTTCAAAGAACATATACCAGCTAAATTGAAGATAGCTTATGCAACCCTGAAAGGCAATTACATTGTAATTCGCTAATCACATCTGAATTTTGGTGATGCTTACGAACCATGTTAAGATAGTAGTTTCGGAATATTTAATAATTTTAAAGTTTACGTGTTAAGCTTGTTACATTTACAATAAATTCAAAGAAACCAACTGGCTGAATATGTATAATCACAGAGTTACATATTCAGCTTTTTAAGCACATAAAATTCATTTATATCTGACATATCAAGTTGAAATATTTGGATAATATCATTTGACACAAACATCAATAAATAAATGCAAATCATTTTTGAACAACATTGCTAAGAGTTATGATATAGACATGCTGATGCATTATATTGCTATAAAACTCTAAAAGATGCCGATTCTTCAACATTTTCATTGTTTTTCAGCATAAAAAAAATGGAATTCGAAGTCACTTGAAATTTTGTTCTCAAATAAAGGTTGAGCGGAATGCACAAATCAATGAATAGAAATGTAATTCCAATATCAAGTGAAATGACAATTGGGATCAATAGTGATCTTTTTTATTATTTTAAATAGAGGCCTAATTTCATAAGATAACTCATCTGCTATCGTCAATGCTAATATATTCTCAATGAAAATGAAAAAAAAGGATACAGTATAGAGAGTACATTAAATAAAAATAGGAAGGAAGTGATATTATTATTTTTCAGGTAACCCTCCTCTACGAAGAATATCTGAAGTGTTTGATTGTTGGTTCGAATCTGGATCAATGCCTTACGCTCAGCTACACTACCCTTTTGAGCACTCCAAAGATTTCGAAGAATCATTTCCTGCAGACTTCATCGCCGAAGGGATAGATCAAACTCGTGGTTGGTTTTACACCCTAATTGTCATTTCAACAGCACTGTTTGGTAAGGCTCCCTTCAAAAACCTAATTGCAAATGGACTTGTGTTGGCCAGCGATGGACAGAAGATGTCCAAGCGAAAACAGAACTACCCCGATCCTTTAGAAATTGTGAACAAATATGGTGCTGATGCTTTGAGGCTGTATTTGATCAACTCTCCTGTGGTTAGAGCAGAGAACCTGAGATTCAAGGAAGAGGGTGTGCGGGATATTGTAAAAGATGTTTTTCTGCCTTGGTATAATGCTTTCAGGTTCCTGTTCCAAAACTTTGAAATCTATGTCCAGAATAATAATAAAGTATTGAGGTGTGATGAAAGGAGTGTAAGCAGTGATAACATTATGGACAAATGGATATTATCCTTCACCCAGTCACTCCTGCTGTACATTCGCAAGGAAATGGAGCTTTATCATTTGTACAATGTTATACCCAGGCTCACAAAGTACTTTGATTATCTTACCAACTGGTAAGTAGATAATATCATTTTCTCATTTTCTGTCCCATCACTGATTATTTATTCACAATTACAGAAATTGTAACATTTCAATTAAGAATGAAAAACCATGTTTCTTACTGATTTTTGGGAGTTTAACCTTCCACAATCTGAAAAATACCCAATTAATAGAAAATCTGCTCAAGTGTAATGAAAGGCAAACTGAAAAGTTCTTCTTTAATAGTTATTGTATAATATAAACTACTGAAGAGTCCAACCAGTATATTGTTGTAATCATAAATTTTGCCTAGAAATTGAATAATCAATGGAAAAAATTTAATTTCCATACTTATTTCTCTTTCAAGATAGTTAACGTTTTGGAAAATAATTCTTTTCCGTTTTTTAAACATCCAAAACATTTATCTGTGAACAAAGTCTCAATTAGAAACAGCTATATTTTCTTTGACGTGCTTCAAAGTGATTTTTTTGGGTTTTGATTATTTTCTAAAACGTCAATCATCTAAAAAGCTAATTAAGTATAGAAATTTCATTTTTCCCATCGATTATTCAGTTAGTAGGCAGAATTCATGAATACAAGTTACTGATTAACTGGTTTCTTTATTGATTTGTATTATGCAGTAACTTTTCGGGCTGAACTCTATTGATTTAGAGTTGTTTACTTTTCAGATCGTGGAAGGATAAACATCCGAAAAACAGTAGACGACTCCTTCCAAAAAAAAAAATCTAAATTGTGTACATTACAAGTGTTCAATTCATCAAAATATCAGTCTTGATTAAAATTACAGTTATGTCTAAAATTTGATCACTGGTTCAAGTGCCGTCAAACTGGAAAAAGTTTGATCAACAAAGTTAGATTGTTTATGTGTCACTGTTTGAATTCTAAGTTTGTCAGAATGATAATGATGTTTTAGTGTTGAAATATCTAAACTTTTGTCCTTCATGTACACATCTTGTATGACAGGTTTTATCAAATTCAAAGTTTTGAGTGACATCTCAATTTAAAATGTGAGCCTTTGATAAATTTGCTAAAAGGTTTTTATTAAAAATTATTTCGAATCCAGTATATCAGAAAGACATCAACAAGATTTTGTTTTTGTGATTGATTCGGCCGTTACTTGATGAAGATCCATAGTAATTTCAAAAACTACATCTCACGATTTGATCTCCACAAACTTTATTTGAAAAAATATATAATCACATGTTTCCCTAGCACAGTAGCTTTTTCAAATTCAAATAAAGTTTGTGGAGATCAAATCGTGAGGTGTAGTTTTTGAAACATCAACAAGAAATGTGATACGTGACATTGAATTGTGGCAAAAATTTGTATTTACTAGATATATTTGTGGGATACATATTTTTTCTGTTCCTGAAATTATGGATTTTTTTCCAGTATGAAAGACTTTTACTATTTCCAAAATAGAAAATATGATAACTGAAGTCACACAAGATTAATGTTCTACTATCTTTCCATTAAAAGGAGTTTCAGTTAAGAATTACAACCGAAATTCTAATGAACAATCATCAGTACAAAAACTGATGTTCTAATTTAATGTTAACGAGTTTTCCAACTTCAGCTACAAATCAAAACATGGGAAAATAAACAAGTTTAATAAAACACCATATATTCCTGTCTATTTTATATAAAAATCATATAAGAAAAATATATAAAATAAATTCAACAGTTGCAAGTCTCTACTTTAGAAATCTTCTATATGAACTTTTTCTTATTGTAGCCAAATATTAGCTTCTGTAGTTACAGGGTGTCAGTAAAATAATGTTTTTTCTGATAATTGAATACACATCTCTTTCTTTGTCACTTCATTTTTATCTGTCCAGTAAATAACTTATTTGTTACTAGTGTGAAAAAATGATCTTGAGAAATTGATGTACAGATAATAATGATAGATTCCGAATTATGTTGATGTTGTACATATGTATTAAATTATCAATGAAAATCAATCAGAGAACTCTAATTTATTTTATTCATTTGTGGGAACTCCCTATTGAAATACACAGTACCTTCATCACAAATTTCAGAATGTCACTACTTGAAAACTTGGAACCTGAAAACTAAGTTTAAATATAGTCTGAGTAGTTTCGATCAGTACTAAAATATTCTCAGTGATAATAATAATAAGTGTGATATAGATGAAAGAAAAAAATTTCAATTTAAAACAGTGGCTCGTTATTCATGTTAAAGATTTACATCAAATTAAAATGGTCGATATCAACTCTGTTTGTATTTAAAACAATTCGAGATAAGGGAGAATTGGCATATACCCTAGGAGTACTAAGCATTTGAGTTAAATAGATAATATTTGTAGGGAGATATTTTCAGATTGAAAAAAATATATCTTGAGAACTTATTTTCTCTTTGATAATATGAACTTCAAATGTTGGTGGCAAATATTCTATGGCTGACCATAGTTATTTTTATTCCCACAGATATACTCTGTGAGCATATATGATCGCTACAGAAAAACACTTGTCTAAGAAACATGTCAATAAAAAAGGAAGATTTACACGATATTTCAAAGACATGAAGTAATTTTTTTTTGTTAATATTCCGATAAAATACTTCACTAATAACAATATATGATATAAAATTATTCAAAACATAAGTTTTCTCAACTTCCCAGTGAAACATATTCCTGAATACTTTCATATTCATTATATTCTTTGGAATACTATTGAACAAAAAAATCCAGAACGTACTACTTCCTGAGATTTAAAGCCTTTCATTTTCATATATTGTTCTCTGTCAGTAACATAATTGATTGGTCATTTGAGCAGATTTTCGAAGAAACGAATATAATTTAATGTGTTCATTGATCTGTAATTTTATAAGATGGTTTCATCTCCAGATTTGAAAAGGCGTTATGTAGGTTGCTTCAAAAGTTTTGTCCGTCTTTATGAGTCTACTTCTAACCGTTATATCTCAGTGAATACTTATTCAATTTAATCGAAATTAACGCTATTTGAATCAGTGCATATTAGCCAATGTAACATAAGTCGATTATTCCCATCAGCATAAAAATCGTGTCTTCGGGATTCGATGAAGTCGACGAAGGTCGTTTTTGCTTGGTCCTGATGGGCGAATGGTTCTATCGATGAGAAAGTTATCGAAGTGCTTGAAAAGATGGGATCCGGTTGGCGAGAGGTCTGGCGAGTATGATGGGTAAGGCAGAACTTCAACGCTCAATTCGTTAAATTTTCGGACAGTGATTTCTGAAAAGTGAGGATGGGCGTTGTTGTATAGCAGGGCCTCTTCTGTTAACCAGTGCCGGCTGCTGCTGACGAAATTTTCGGTATATTTCGTCTATTTCCCCACAATAGGACTCTGCTGTGATGGTCGAGCCCGATTGCAAAAAGCTATAGTCAATGACACTAGCTGCTGACAATCATACAGTAACCATAGTCTTTTTTAGGGGGTTTTCGTCTTTGGGAAGTACCTGAGTATCTCATCAGTGTCCAATAACTGTCCTGAACGTCTCCTGTTTTCATAGAGGATCCACTTTTCATCACACGTGACGATCCGAGTTAAAAAAGAATCGATTTGATTGCGCAAAAGCAAAGAAGAACAGACCTCGAAACGTGACAATTTCTGTTGATCGTTCAAATAGTAGAACACCCACTTTTTGTACTTTTTGATCATTCCAAAAAGTTTTAAACCAAAAACCGCATGGGATCTGACGCTCAGTTCTTCCGCTTTCTCACGCACCGTTTGTAATGGGTTCATCTTCGAGGCAAAAATTTCCGGAACGAAATTTCGCAAATCAATGTCGGAACAGTGCATTCATCAACACTATCATTGCCAAATGCCTGGTTCATTTTCCGTGCTGTTTTGGCAGCGCTTTGGTTCAATTTGAATTCGTAGAGAGAAACTGGCCGATGATCGCTTAACGACATCATATAGTAATAAGCTGAAGAGTCAAACAATTAAAATTTGGAAAAAATGAACAGCCTAAATGTATAAAGTACAAAATTTTCCATCGATCAGTATATACCACGGCACAGTAGAATAAATATTTATTGAGATATGGAGTCACAAAAACATGATATTAAAACGGACAAAACTGAAACAACCTCATTTATTTCCGTAAGAGGGAAACTTCACCCAACTCAGGTGAGGCTGAAAAAATCATGGTCTAGCGAACACAAACCGACAAGCATAAACATCCTCGGACCATCAGTACAAAGATCTTTTACAATGAATTGAATTAAATTATCCAAAATGATTCCAGGCATGATTGTGCAGTCATTTATACTTTTTTTCCTAAGAAATGTTTGGGGTATCATTATCAATACTAGGTTTATATACGGACTGAAACTGATAGGCAAAGGCCCAGAGATATCATTTCCATTATAAAACGTTTATTTTTTTTGTATCCTAAATAATGAATAACTAGTAATTAAAAATGTATAGTCAACAATGAGATGCACTGTCACAGTTACTATCCTTAAATGAAATTCTTCCGATTTCTGTAGGTACGTTCGCATGAATAGAAAACGATTGAAGGGGGAAGGCGGTGAAAGGGACTCCAAAGCCGCGTTGACCACTCTGTTCAATATTCTTTTGAACATTGTAAAAATGATGGCCCCATTTGCACCATTTCTTTCTGAAACTATGTATCAATTCCTCAAACAGCTTTTAGACACAAAAGCAGATAGTGTTCATTACTTGATGTTACCTGAACCTAATCAAGAGTTGATAGATACCAATATAGAACGTGCTGTGTCCCGTATGCAAACAGTTATTGAACTTGGGAGGGTAGTAAGAGATAGGAAAACCATTCCGATAAAATATCCATTGCCAGAGATCATCATTGTTCATAGAGAGCAGCAGTATCTAGATGATATACACTCTTTGCAGGAGTATATATTATCGGAATTGAACATTAGGAAGATAAGCAGTACCACAGATAAAAGCAAATTTGGTATAACTCTCAGGGCGGAGCCTGATCACAAAATACTGGGAGCTAGGCTTAAGCAGGTGAGTGGTTTGAAGATTAGGGGAGTATTTTATTTATACTAAGATAGATGGATAGATAGTTTATTGATCTCCACAGATCATGAATGTGACATGATACAAGTACAATAGTAGTCAATAAAGTAAAGTAAGTAAATATGAAAATTTTGATTTTGTATTGATTGAACATGCACAGACAAATATACAAATATGTCCTATGAGTTGAGCGCAAATATAAAACAAGGATAAGAAGTGTATGAAAAATCTATCACTGTTTAGATGTATTACTGGTATTCAATCAATGTATTTATTAAGTAAACAGAAAGAGTGATGTAGCAAAAGATTCTTCAAATCAGTTCGAAGGTTTTTGACACTTTTTACTAATGTTATGGATTCAAAAGTAGGTTATAATTATGTCTATAATGGTCATGTAACCATAGAAAAAACATCGGAAATATATTTATCAAGAACACACTAAGATCACTACATTAAAAAATAACCTGTTGAGAACATTTTTCATCACTGCAACAGTCAATTTCAATAATTTTGAAGTACATATTTAAATTCAATAGTAAATGTAAAACCTCATTTTCATTTGTTCTTGTATATTCAAAAAACAAGTATTTATGAATTGATCATTTGAAATATAATATTGAGTGTGATATGGTTTTTTTTTTTCAATAGGAAAGGATTTTCCTTGTTAATAAAATATTTAGATTATTGTTGGAAAAACCAGATTAAGATAATTTAAACATTCATTAACTTTTATAATAGTTTCATTAAGGTTATCACAATAAAGTTTTTTACAGTTTTTCATATATTTTTCTTTATTTGATGTATAGGATACTTGAAGTAACAGCAATACTTTTTTTTGAAAAAAAAAGCTTTCTGGCCTTCACTTTCCCATCTTTATATAACAAATTGTGGAAAACTTTGGAAGGAAGAAAATGATTAAGTTCAAAATAAACTGGATACAAACTGGAGGAAAAAGTTCTATCGAAACAACTACTTTTATATGAACACTGAATTATACAAAAATACTTTTCTCTATTCAGTTTGTACTCCAAACATTTGTTATTGAATTGAATCAGAAATTATTCATAGCACTACTATACTAAAATTCCATAATAATGGTAGGCACTAAATTCTCAAAAACATTATTGCATTGAAACAAATACATTGTTGTCAGGTTGTGATTCTATATATTTCATCACCTGACAACAATGTTTTCGTTTTAATGCAATAAGATTTATAAGAATTTAGTGTCTACTATTGTACTATCATGGAATTTTAGTATACACAATATAATATATGAAAAAATCACAATATAACCATTCTGTTATTATAGGAGTTCAAAGCAGTGACGCAAGGCCTAAAATCTCTAACAGACAACGAAATTAATGAAATGGTGGAGAAAGGTCACAGAGTTATTGCAGGTCAGCGTATTGAAACATCTGAAGTCCGTTTAATCTTCAAGTCTGAGAGTTTGAATACTGATCAGTATGAGGTGCACTCTGACAATGATGTTCTGATATTGTTGGACGTGACACCAGACTCTTCAATGCAAGATGAAGGCATTGCTAGAGAGATCATCAATCGAGTGCAGAAGCTGCGGAAGAAGGCTCATCTGGTACCCACTGATGAGATATCTGTTTTTTATGAAGCCAATGGAGAGTTGGATAGGTATGATTGAAAATAATAATAAGTTGAAATGCGTAAATTATTTCATTTTGTAGGGTGGCAAAGGATTTCACTGAATTTATTGAGAGCACTCTTAAAACCCACTTTAGAAAAATAGATGAACGGAAATCTTCAGATCAGATTATCATTGAGGAACACCAAAAACTCAAGACTTCTGATATTCACATTATTTTAACTAAAACTTCTGATACTGAGCAACCAGAAGGTAGATGGGTGAATGTTCAATTGTTGGAAAAGAAATCTAGGTACTGCAGAGGTTCTACGAAGGGTACCATATTATTGGAAGTTGGAAATAAAGTCCTGACTTTGAACGAGTTGAAAGAGGAAATATCAAGTCTGTTCGGTATAGATAACTATGATTTATGGGTGAAAAATGTAATACTTATCAACGACCACCAGCTTCAAGTTTTGAATGGTGAAACAGTATATATTACACCTGTTGGCAAACAGTTGTCGCTGCCTCAAAGTACATACATACCTTTTTGCAAAGTTTTCAATTTCAATGAAAGCGGTGTCAAAGGAACTATCTTTTTGGAGAATCCTTTAGGTATTTCAACTAATTGTGATCACAAAAATATGGTAAAGGCTTGGTCTAAGAGTAAATGATTAAAATTTTTTTAGAAAAAAATTAATTATTTATTGTATGAATTTTGTAATACATTGACAATTTCATGTTTGAATTTCCTTTTTCATTTCTTTCTCAAAACGAGCACTTTTCCCAAACACCAGAACACCAACTTCTCAGTGCGCTTTTGACCAACCAAGTTGGCATCTTCAGAAGATGAAGTAAACTGTTCACCAGAGTATATCAATGTCTAATCGTTTCTTGGAGTTAATTGGACCTGGTTTATTTGCATTAATTTTTGAAATAGTAAATTTTCAACAAAAAACCATCATCTTAAATCGCCCTGTACGGAATAGTGTAATGAATTGGTCAAAATCTGCATGGAAATCAGTCCATATACGAATCCATGAACTAATGATAAATGTAGGCAAAATTATTACTAGGAGTAGATCAAGTTTTTTGTATCAGTTTAAACCTAATTCAGGTAAAATTATTTGTCATCGATGGTTTCTTTTTTCGCTTCCTCAACGCTGTCTGACTTGCCCATTTCTTCCATGTCTCCGGGAAACATGCGTTTTTCCTCTGTCTAATCATGACACCCATTCAAACAACCTGTAGAGATCTCTTGCTGGAAGTATATCATAATTTGGGTTGTCCATAAATTGTTTACCTATTGTGACCCAAAGCCTCACATTTCCATAAAATATGACGAGCTGCCTGTCCCTTTGTTGCATTTCCTACAACTAAGGTCTTCGTTGTACAGCTCCTTTTTTTCAGGTGTCCTCTTCATGTCAGGCTTCAGTGAATTGCCCTATAATTGTTCTGAGCCGATCCCTGTTTTGTTGAAGCTTTTCTTCCATTCTCTTATCAGACAGTCTCTTTATAAAGGTTTTCCCATGTATATTTTCCGTGTACGTCATTAATAATAAGAAAGTCGTATTTAAAATTGTGTTACTTAAATATGTTAGGATTTTCATCAGGTATCGGACAATTTCATTAGATATTGAAGACCATGCACAATAATTTTCTCAGATATACCTAATTAATGAAATCTATTTGTATTCTTTGGCAAATTGAATAATATTCTTGAATATGGGAAGCATGCAGTCACGTCTGAAACTGGTCAAATCCTTTGACGAATAAAGAATTCATAGAACTTCTTTTGATACTAGTTGATATATGTATATTTGAATACCGTACTTTAGTGATAAATATCGTAATTATAGAATACATAGTTTTGGAAATGTACAGGACAAAGAATTTAAGTAGATCAATCTTTGAGATGGGCAACCATTAAAGAGTATTTAGCATGAATGATACAGGTGTTGTCATCCTATTACAATATTAAATCATTCTAATTCCTAGTTTCTGAAGAATTTGCATCTATGCTTTTTGATTCAAATTGCCGATATAAAGAACAGAAGCATAACAATGAAAATGTGGCTGCATTATTGCTATATACACACACGCATTTGTGCGATTCCGTGTTCGATGAAAATCATACTTTCTCACATAATTCCAAGAATATTTCATTAATACTTTCGTAGGCAAACATCATACCGCAAAAACATAAGCTTCTGAAAGTAGGTATTTTGGTATTTCATAATTCTTATGAAATAAATGTTATTCATTTATGAATAAAATGGGGATCATTTCATCAATTGTCAAAGACATATAATAGTGATATATCTGCTTGCAAGTAGAATGATTTTCAACCTTCCCCCATCCATAAATATTATATATATGCGGGCGAAGTCCTCATTCTCTTAACTATCGAACGTGACAAGATATCAAGATGGAATAAAAATTAACATGATATAATTTTTGAATATAAACTATCCATATATAGAAAGGTATCATGGATGCATGATGCATCCCTCGTCACGGAGAGGGCACTGCCAACTTTTTTTAAATGGTGAAAATAATTACGATACTTTTTTTAATAGCTATATTAATTTTATATCAACAATTTTTTATTTTTGGAAATCGAATTAGCCTTTTTCCAGTAATTAGCAGTTTCATATTCATTTTGAGAATTTGCATAAAATTGTTGCGTCTGTGTGAGCGAAATACCGCCGATTCAGGCAACCAGAAATTCATCAATTCGGAATTAACGGTGGCGCACCGTATCGGGCAGCGTTCAGTTCCAATGATACAAAAACCGGATTAGTTTTTTGGGCCAAATTTCGATCCCTTCTTTGACAGCCTCACCACGACGCAAATGTAATTTATAGAGTATTTTTGATGTGTAACATCTATAGCCACACGTTAAACCGATTGCTGGTGTGGCGACGGGTCGCCATGCGTAAGCGACTGTGTGAATTATTTCCATCTTTATGTAAATCATACTATCAGAGAAAAAATAATCCATTTTCAAATTGTTCAGATCAAAAACAATTCATAAATTATCACCGAACATCAAAGACAGTTTCCTTGTTTAGTGATGGTCATTCAATTATGATTGAATGATATTTGTTATTCATCATGTTACAATCCAACATGTTAAATTCTGTGGGAGCCAAGTTCCATCTGTCGCTAATTTAGTGCTATGAAATTTAATGTTTTCTGACATAAAATCGTGTAGTGGCAACATTGTGTACAGTACTTCCACAGAATAGTAATAGTGAAAGTGAACATATTCCGCGTACTTCTACCCTACATAGTTGCATGTTCAAATTTCAAATTATATTATTTGTTTTGATTAGGAGTGTTATAGTTTTTTTGAATAATTTGAAAATCTGTTATTATTTAATTGAGGTTCATGATAATAAATTCATATATTATTTATGACAATGAGTTCCTCCAGTGGTCTGAAAGGTAGAGATAACTGACATGTGTTTAAAATTTTCTACAATCCTTCCAATTCACAGATACTCTGAAAAGCGTTCTACCAGAAGAAATCTTGCCATGTCAAAGACGAGAAGATCAACTGCCTTATATAAAAAATGCTTTGATGAGAACTTTGCCCGCCACAGATAGCAAAAACCTCAAGAATGATCTCGAATGGAAATTCCTACTAGACAGGCATAGCTTTCAAAAGAAAAAACAGTTGAAGAAGAAAAAATCTTTTCTCACACGCAAACAGCGATCTGAATTAAATTTGCTAAAATTGCCTAAAGATGGTTGGAGTTATGTCTCACTGCAACCTATCAGAGACATGTGGAAGGACTACATGAGGCAAAATCTGAGCTTATTCAAAGTTCCACAGTGTATAGATCAAGAATGGAGCACTTTCAGTTCTGTTTTAGCAAAATCCGAATTAGTAGGAGCAGAGTTGACAGTTATCAAGTCAAAGATACCTAGTCAAGTAGGAATGAGTGGAACCGTCATTCTAGAAACCAAAATGACCTTTCAGATTGTTGTTAATGATTCAAAGTTAAAAAGTGAGAATTTACTTTTTTCCATAATTTAGTGTCGGAACTGATTTATTTTTTGTTTCAGCCCTTGTTAAAGACAATTCAGTATTTGAGTTTCATCTGGACAACATAAAATTCACGATTTATGGAAAACATATCACAACAAGACCCAGTGAAAGAAGCGTGAAGAAAATTAGGGGACAAATGGTTCCTGAATTATAAGTTATGTAGTTGTATATTGTTATTTATATTTAGAAGACTGTTCATTAAATCTAAAAACATCTAAACTTGATCTTTGAAGAGAATAATACATGTGGATACTTTCTTCACATCTAACTTCAATTTTTACCCAGTATATAAATACATAGTAAAGTCATTAAACTTCCTGAGGACAGCTCAGGACACCCTTAACCTTTCAAAATACTAGTCATGTACGTAATTGCTTCCCAATTACTTTGAAAGGAAAATATCTGAGGCTAATGGACAAAAAAGGTTTTAGCTTTCTACTTTTCCATTTTTATATGAAAATTAATCTCTCCTAAAAATATACCCCTTTCAATCTGAGACTAGTTTCAACTACTTTCTACAATTTTATATTTAGAGATTTTGTACAATTTTACTTAAATATTATCATTTTGTCCTAGATCTTTTATACAAATTATATTCGTACTGCATCTTAGACCATATACCTTTACACATATTCAACAATCTATTATCAACTATAGTAGCATTTTTCGCATTTTGATATTCTTTACTTATAATCCTGCGTGCAGTTTTATATCTTTTTTGTTGAATTAGACTAAGGCTGAAGTATAACTGACATCTTGATACAATATTTGGATCACCTAATCGAAGCGCAAGGTACAGTTGATGAAAAGAAATTTTTCCTGCAGTGTGAGCACAGTTTGGGAAATAGTCACCTGAAATTTGAATATTTCAACATACCAGAAAAATGCTACTAGAATATGGCCACAGTAATTTATCAAGCTCACCTAAAGCTGAGAAAGCACCTCCTAATGTGGATAACCAAGATAGGGCATTATCCAGCTCACATTTTTCTCTAACCATCTGATAAATCCTCTCATTCCAATTGTAGTCTATCAGATCATACTTGGTTGGTTGCAAAACTATCTCAAGACTTCCATTACTTTCAACATTCCAGAAATATAGAAAATTCAATCTATAAAATTTACTAATCAATAATTCTTTCAGTAAATAATGGAAAAAGGCACAATCAATATAAACAAATCGACCGTTTTTTATATTAGTTTTCAATTCTTTTTTCTCTGTTCCTTTTTTTCTCACTGAATATTGTCCAAAATAATAGAAATTTGTGTCCTCTAATATATTCAACAATAACATCTTCATTTTTGAAATTGGATTCAATTATAAATCGAGTCGGTGGAAGTCTGGGAATTTATTCAATGAGGTTATTAACGTTTGACAAAGTTGAATAATTATAAACTACTTCTGAATGTATAACATTCATTTTTGAAATATTGTTGAAGTTAACCTAACATTACTTAATCTGTGACATTACTAAATTCAAATTTTCATATTAGTGATGTTTTCTTCATATATAACCGGAATAGGTATATAGAACAACCAAAAGAGCAACATATGGCAACATTGATAGTAGTTGTGTTTTGTTGACACCTAGATTGAGTCATTAACGACAACAAAAGTTATTTGCTATCTCCTCAGAGTAGTGAAAATATTGTAATTATTACTCTGCTGAGGCTATCTCTGCTCAATACATTTTGATCAAGCAAAGATATAGATTATTTTTTGGAGAAAATAGTTCGGAAATAAGATTAGTGCGAACAAAACACACCTTGTATCAACATTTTCGACAAATAATCTTCGGTTCACGTTCTTCTACCATTTTATTCTGAAGATTACTTCGGTTGAGACATTATCTTTGGTAATAACTAGAGGAGGAATAAAATATAAAAACAATAGGATGACCATTCCGTTATTGGTAACGTAGCAAAAAACGCCGCTTGAAGCTGGTTAAGCAAAGTAGCCAACCAAATAAAACTGTTTTGCGCGAGATTGACGTTATCCGTACAGTCCGATAAAAACCAGAGTTCATGAAAAATGGACCGAAAAAAACTCCGTGTTACATTTTTCGGGTATGTTAGCCATGGTCTGCATGTTTTTAGGTCCGACGTTTCGTCTTCATCCGCGATAGACGTTATCAGAAGCGATTAAGCATTGCCGCACATAAACTGGACAAAAAATTTATAAAACATGGATAACAAACTCGAAAAAGCTCAAGGTTAGACAAAAAAAATATTGATTTGTCACTTTTCTACGAAGGCGTAAAAGTTAAGTTTTTCGAGATAAATATATAGCTTACATCGATCTTGACCAATCTTTTTGGACCATTCATTTCACGAAAAATTTAACAACAGTTAACGGTAATAGGCCTGAGGCACTCTAAGTTGAAACTGATTTGCTAAAATAATGTGAACAGAAAATCCTCAAACCAGAAAGCACAATAAAAGCGCCAAGATATTGAGAATACACAGGTTTTTGCCTTGTTGGCATTACTTGGGTTGAGACAAGTTAACAAGTATGTGATGGAATCAGCCGATATACATGATGAAACTCCTTAAAGCATTTAAGAAAAACTTTATTGTGAGACACGCCTTAAGAAGCCAGTGTATAGCGAAATACATGTTGCGTTTTTGTTTATAACTTTTTAAAACAAATTACGTAAAAAATTCATATCCTATGTTAATAACTGCCATTGTTTAATGTGAAAAGACGTACCTAAATATCAATTGAAAAAAAAAATATTTCCAATTTTTAGATATTTCACTTTGCAATAGTTATAAAAAATCATAATTAACAAATTAATAAATTTTTATGAAATTTCATCGCAGGATCGTATGAAGTATATATATCAAAAGGGCTCCACGAAGTTTAAAATTTATAGGCCAATTATTTATACCTTTTATCCCATTATTTATGCCAACGGAGATTGGAAAAAAATTTGTTAGTTAACAATTGAATAACATTTTGAAAAATGGAGATAACACTTTTTTCTACGGGACTCGATTCACTTAAGTATTAAGAAGATACAAGATATTTTCAAATTTTCAAAATGACATTTTGTTACAAAAAAAATTATTTCTTTTGATAAACTCTCTTTAGCGGCAGCGCGCTTATACGTTAACAGCCACGCGGAACCCTATTTTCAACGTCAAATTAAAATTATAAATAATGGAGATAGAGTTTCGGGAGTCGGGACTTTTTTATCGGAAATTTCCTCCTCTTTAACGAGCTTTTTTCAAAATTGCTTAAATATCAATATTTTTTAAGTTATTAACGAAAAACTAAATACCATTCAATCTTATTTTGTTAATAACAATTGCAATTTTTTACCTGCACCAAAATCCTTCAGAAACATTTTTCTAGAGGTGATTCCGAATCGAATGAGCTATCGCTCATATTTTTAGGACCTTTATCTTTATTTTTCATGTTTTTGAACTTGTTGATTAGACTATTTATGGACTTCAGGAACTTGAAGAGTTGACTTAATTAGTCACCTTCATTACAGAAATAGAAATATTATTTTTCAATAGTTTCTGAAAATCAGTTAAAATAATTTAAAGCAGCATTTGATTAAGTGATCAGTGAATCAAATCAGGTTGTATTATACAGGGTGGGGCACCTCATACGACACGGTTCCTGTAAACAAAACCAATAATTTTTTTTATTTCTCCATTTCATTACATGTATGTGAAAATTGGAAACTGAATAGCATAGAAATGTATAGAAATAATCCCTTCGATTTCTAAAAAAGTACCAAAGAAGTTTTGGAATATTGATTTCGATAAAACCCTTTTCTCAATATTATACAAAATGTTCAAAAATCATTGTCAATCTTTTATAGTTTCGGACAAAGATATAACTTTGTTATTTCAAATAGAACACCGTATATTTTCAAGTTCTGAACAATATGAAATTCAATTATTTTACATTTTATTTTGGGGTTCCCTGTACCCAACCTAAATAGTATTTCAGATATTGGCCTTTTCAAATAGTAGTTCTTATTTCAATGCTTTCTTTGAATCAAGATAGCTTCGAAACGACATTTATTTGATTTTCTCACAGAATTCTTATCAACAGTTTTTATACTTCATTTCAACGAAAATAATTACTATTCACTAAAATGCAGTTATCATTTACATTCATATTCTGACAGTAGCTCATTAAACACACTATACAACTTTTCAATTATTCAACTGAAACAACAACAAAAAACACAAATGTATTTGATTCAAATTAGGTGCTCGAAATGACGACCTGTTGTTGAATACAAAGATCCGGTCTTTCTATGAAAGAGTGCTTAACATTAAAAAATATTTGAGGCGTCACTCTTCGAAATAGTCCCTTATTCTTTCCTCCATATTTTGCAGTGTGGTTGGAGCAGTGTCGTAAACCTCATTCTTCAAGTATCCCCATAGGAAAAAATCAAGGCAAGTCAAATCTGGTGATCTCGCTGGCCAATTTTGTGGTCCTCCCCTACCAATCCATTTATTCGGAAAGCACAAATAACTATGATCCTATAATTCCTCCCCACAAGTTAAGATACCATCTATTCTGCAGGTCCAGAGTGCGGAAAAAATGAGTATTCACGTCACTATTATAATGAAAGTTGTGTTGGTTCACTAAGCTATTGTTATGAAAAGTAGATTCATCGAAAAATAAAATGGAATCAAAAAAGTTCATCCCCACTAAACTTGTCCAGAACCCGTAGACAAAACTCGATTCGTCGATGGAAGTCTATTTCATATGATTCCTGGCGCATCTGAATACGGTACGGTTGAAATTTGTATTCTTTATTTCCCTAGAAATGCTCCATCTGCTTATCCCTGTATCTTTCTCGATCTTACATTTACTGGTATGAGGGTTTTCTATGATTGATACCATAATGAGAAATGCATTTTTCTCATTTCCAATAATAGGTTTTGGTATATTTGCCTTCTCATAAGCTACACTTCCAGTCCTACGAAATTCATGTAATAATCGTTTGAAAACCAAGTTGTTTTGGTTCCGGTCTAAACACTCACCAATCGCTATAATCATATAATCGTTATCTGCTGTTGAATGGAATAAGTTTTCATTTTCAACGTTAATAATTCAGTGAATATTTTGAACAACGTAAAACCCAATAACTGTTAATAAGACTTCTTTCATCAAATTGAATAAATGTCGTTTCAAAGCTATCTTAATTCAAAGAATGCATTCAAATAAGAACTACTAAAAAAGCCAATATCCGAAAAACTATTTAGGTTAGGTATAGGGAACCCCAAAATGAAATGAAATATTAATGAATTTTATATTTTTCAGACTAAAAAAGTGCAGGGTGTTTATTTGTTATAAGAAAGTTATCTACGTCTGAAATTTAAAAAAATGACAATGATTTTTGAATATTCTGTATAAAAAATGAGAAACGGGTTTTATCAAAATCAATAGTTCGAAACCTTTTTTATGCTTGTTCAGAATTGGAAGGGATGATATCTATACATTTCTATGTTATTTAGTTTCCAATTGTACCAAGAAAAAGAAATCTGGGTTAAACTGATGCCACTGGCCTAGCTTCTATGTTCAAGATTTAGGTACAGGTAGAATCTACATAAAAAAGACTCGGCGCTAGCAAAAATATCAAGCTTTTCAGCACAACTATACAGGGTGTAACATTAGTACGTTAAAATATTCAAGTGATGTATTCCCGATATATTTTTAAGAAAAAAGTCTATATACACTTGCGCCCGGAAATGCCTCGTTTCGGAAATACAGGGTGTTGAAATTGATTTTTGTTTGGTTTTCAAAATTATCTTTTGAAAAAATAAGTTATCTGCGCGAAATTTGGTACCCGATAGTTTTTTGACGTGGGAAATCATAACTTCATATTAATTTTCATGTAACATCTAGAAGGCACTGCGTACGCTGTGTTATTCATTTCAAATTACCCTAACTTTTTTGACAGTAAAGTTTTGGTACCTTCCATAAAAAAACCTAATTCCCATATCTTTTTCAAGTAAAAAAGGTACACTTCCTCAACAACACTGAAGATGATCGTTTTCGAGATATTTACAATTCACCATGGATCTCGTTAAAATAAACAACTTTTCCCACAAAATGTTCATCGAAAAATCATTCGTTTACGAGATATAAATTGTTGAAATTTTTGTCATGAGTTTTTTGCAATTTTAGTTATTTTTATCATACATTTTATAAATATTACTGGAGTTTTTTCCAACACCAAATCGTTATTTTCACACCTCGACACGTGTTTCGATCACCAAGTGATCATCTTCAAGAGGAAGAGGAAACAGTTTTTATCTTCCTCTTGAAGATGATCACTTGGTGATCGAAACACGTGTCGAGGTGTGAAAATAACGATTTGGTGTTGGAAAAAACTCCAGTAATATTCATTACTACACCAAAGGTTCCAACAGTACATCATAAGTATACATTTTATAGGAAAAAATTATTAATTCTAACGAGATGTTCTCGTATTGTTCTCATCAACTTCACTTAG